ACAGAATTAGCTGATGGTGGTCTGACTAATCTAATGAATTCAAATTTTGAACATTTCTTGTAAGTATCAGACACTCATAAATGGTTAGTTCTGCTCATGAAAAAAGTTTCACAATCATTTTACAAAACTACTACTGTGGTTACCATGTTTTGAAGTTTTGATCTGGCTGAAAAATAACAGCTGACCATCTCTTTCTTCTCCTTAACAAACAAAACAAGCAAAAAAATAACAACACTTGGCCAGTCAGAACCATCACTGGATCATTTCAGATAAGTTGGAGCTCAATCCCACTGGTGAAAATTGAGAAGTTTGAAATAGGTGTTGCACAGGAAAACCATGTTTGCACAATTATGTTACAAAATAGCCTCCCAGTTGAAGTTTTGACACAGTCGAAAAATACCAACACCTTGCATTTTCTTTGGCTACCTTTCCTGAACAATTCAACCAAATTTTAGCTCAATGTCACAAGTGGTTCTAGTGAATAAGTTTACAATTTGTTTTGCAAGATGGCGTCCATCTTGGATCTCAGATCAACATGAAAAATAAAAACACTTGGTCACAACTATCTCAGGATCATTTCATGCAAGTCGGAGCTCAATTCCAATGGTGAAACTTGAGAAGACGTTTGAAATAGGTATTGCACAGGAAAACCATGATTGTGAAATCATGTTAAAAAATGGCCTCTCTGGTTGCCATGTTGAAGTTTTGACAAGGTCGAAAAATTTTAACACGTTGTTCGCTACCTTTCCTAAACATTCTCAACAATTTTTAGCTAAATGTCACAAGTGGTACTGGAGAAAAAAATTAAAGTATGTATGTTTTTCAAGATGGCAGCAATGGTGGCCATCTCGGATTTCAGGCACACCCGAAAAAATAACAACACTTGGTCAAGACCATCTTGGGATCATTTCATGCAAATTGGAGTTCAATCCACTGGTGGAACTTCAGATGAAGTTTAAAATGTCAAAAGCTTATTTATGGCAGACAGCGACGAAAATGCACAATGACTAAAAAATGTCAGTAAGATGTGAATGTACCTACATCCATGTATATGACAACTCTCAAATTAACCTTTGACCCTATAACATGACAAACTGATCATCTCAATATTAAAATTTTAGAACTTCATGTAATGGGGTAGATATAAAACAATATTGTTGAGATGTTCTCAGGTTAGGATTGATATGGAATAGGATGAGATAGGACTGATATGGATTAGGACTGGAAAGGACTGATATGGAATAGGATGGGATAGGACTGATATGGAAGAGGATGGGATAGGACTGATATGGAATAGGATGGGAAACGACTGATATGGAATAGGATGGGATAGGACTGATATGGAAGAGGATGGGATAGGACTGATATGGAATAGGATGAGATAGGACTGATATGGAATAGGATGGGATAGGACTGATATGGAAGAGGATGGGATAGGACTGATATGGAATAGGATGAGATAGGACTGATATGGAATAGGATGGGATAGGACTGATATGGATTAGGACTGGAAAGGACTGATATGGATTAGGATGGGATAGGACTGATATGGATTAGGACTGGAAAGGACTGATATGGAATAGGATGGGATAGGACTGATATGGATTAGGATGGGAAAGGACTGATATGGATTAGGACTGGAAAGGACTGATATGGAATAGGATGGGATAGGACTGATATGGATTAGGATGGGAAAGGACTGATATGGAATAGGATGGGATAGGACTGATATGGATTAGGACTGGAAAGGACTGATATGGAAAAGGACGGGATAGGACTGATATGGATTAGGACTGGAAAGGACTGATATGGAATAGGATGGGATAGGACTGATATGGATTAGGACTGGAAAGGACTGATATGAAATAGGATGGGAAAGGACTGATATGGAATAGGATCGGATAGGACTGATATGGAATAAGATGGGAAAGGACTGATATGGAATAGGATGGGATAGGACTGATATGGATTAGGACTGGAAAGGACTGATATGGAATAGGATGGGATAGTACTGATATGGAAGAGGATGGGATAGGACTGATATGGAATAGGATGGGAAACGACTGATATGGAATAGGATGGGATAGGACTGATATGGAAGAGGATGGGATAGGACTGATATGGAATAGGATGAGATAGGACTGATATGGATTAGGACTGGAAAGGACTGATATGGATTAGGATGGGATAGGACTGATATGGATTAGGACTGGAAAGGACTGATATGGAATAGGATGGGATAGGACTGATATGGATTAGGATGGGAAAGGACTGATATGGAATAGGATGGGATAGGACTGATATGGATTAGGACTGGAAAGGACTGATATGGAAAAGGACGGGATAGGACTGATATGGATTAGGACTGGAAAGGACTGATATGGAATAGGATGGGATAGGACTGATATGGATTAGGACTGGAAAGGACTGATATGAAATAGGATGGGAAAGGACTGATATGGAATAGGATCAGATAGGACTGATATGGAATAAGATGGGAAAGGACTGATATGGAATAGGATGGGATAGGACTGATATGGATTAGGACTGGAAAGGACTGATATGGAATAGGATGGGATAGTACTGATATGGAAGAGGATGGGATAGGACTGATATGGAATAGGATGGGAAACGACTGATATGGAATAGGATGGGATAGGACTGATATGGAAGAGGATGGGATAGGACTGATATGGAATAGGATGAGATAGGACTGATATGGAATAGGACGTGATAGGACTGATATGGAAGAGGATGGGATAGGACTGATATGGAATAGGATGAGATAGGACTGATATGGATTAGGACTGGAAAGGACTGATATGGATTAGGATGGGATAGGACTGATATGGATTAGGACTGGAAAGGACTGATATGGAATAGGATGGGATAGGACTGATATGGATTAGGATGGGAAAGGACTGATATGGAATAGGATGGGATAGGACTGATATGGATTAGGACTGGAAAGGACTGATATGGAATAGGATGGGATAGGACTGATATGGATTAGGACTGGAAAGGACTGATATGGAATAGGATGGGATAGGACTGATATGGATTAGGACTGGAAAGGACTGATATGAAATAGGATGAGATAGGACTGATATGGAATAGGATGGGAAAGGACTGATATGGAATAGGATCGGATAGGACTGATATGGAATAAGATGGGAAAGGACTGATATGGAATAGGATGGGATAGGACTGATATGGATTAGGACTGGAAAGGACTGATATGGAATAGGATGGGAAAGGACTGATATGGAGTAGGATGGGAAAGGACTGATATGGATTAGAATGGGAAAGGACTGATATGGATTAGGAGGGAACATGACTGAGATGGAAAAGGACTGATATGGAATAGGATGGGGTAGGACTGAGATGGGAAAGGATGGGGTAGGACTAAGATGGAAAAGGATGGGGTAGGACTGAGAATGGAATAGGACTGATATGGATTAAGATTGGACAGGACTGATATGGATTAGGATGGGATGGGACCAAATGGATTAAAATAGGAAAGGACTGATATGGATAAGGATGGGATGGGACCTATATGGATTAAGATGGGAAAGGACTGATATGGATTAAGATTGGAAAGGACTGATATGGATAAGGATGGGATGGGATCTATATGGATTAAGATGGGAAAGGGGGCTGTTATGGATTAAGAATGGACAGGACTGATATGGATTAGGATGGGAAAGGACTGATATGGATTAGGATGGGATGGGACCTATATGGATTAAGATGGAAAAGAACTGATATGGATTAAGATGGGAAAGGTCTGATATGGAATAGGATGGAATAGGACTGATATGGATAAGGATGGGATGGGACCTATATGGATTAGGATGGGAAAGCACTGATATGGATTAGGATGGGAAAGGACTAATATGGATTAGGATGGGATAGGACTGATATGGATTAGGATGGGATGGGACTGATATGGATTAGGATGGGATAGGACTGATATGGATTAGGATGGGATGGGACCAAATGGATTAAAATAGGAAAGGACTGATATGGATAAGGATGGGATGGGACCTATATGGATTAAGATGGGAAAGGACTGATATGGATTAAGATTGGAAAGGACTGATATGGATAAGGATGGGATGGGATCTATATGGATTAAGATGGGAAAGGGGGCTGTTATGGATTAAGAATGGACAGGACTGATATGGATTAGGATGGGAAAGGACTGATATGGATTAGGATGGGATGGGACCTATATGGATTAAGATGGAAAAGAACTGATATGGATTAAGATGGGAAAGGTCTGATATGGAATAGGATGGAATAGGACTGAGAATGGAATAGGACTGATATGGATAAGGATGGGATGGGACCTATATGGATTAGGATGGGAAAGCACTGATATGGATTAGGATGGGAAAGGACTAATATGGATTAGGATGGGATAGGACTGATATGGATTAGGATGGGATGGGACTGATATGGATTAGGATGGGATAGGACTGATATGGATTAGGATGGGATAGGACTGATATGGATTAGGATGGGAAAGGACTGATATGGATTAGGATGGGATAGGACTGATATGGATTAGGATGGCCATGGGTAGACATCACTTACACTATATACCTTCATCTATATTAGATAGCTGGAGAATGAAAAAGGATGAGCTAATCAATAATAGTTTGATGCTGCTCCAGTCTATCATAGTCTTGGTAGTTCCAAGGACATGATTTGGGTGGTGGAGGAAAGTCAGATTTCCCAGAGTAAAACCACTGACATGAGGTCAGTTTAGCTGGTGACTACCCTACATAGACCTGGAGCCTGCGACCTAGAGGTAGAGGACTATTGATAAAGGCAGTCAGACATTTTAATGCCTTAAGCTGCCCTTTAGGAGTAATAAAAAACTACATGTAATTACGATGAAAGGTTTAGAAATGAAACTGCAGAAGAAAACAAAAGTTGGATTGGAAAAATAAACAAAAAATTCTGCCATATGAATTATACTTTCACATGTAATTTAAGCACATCAATCATTTTTCAAACAGAGAAAAAGTTGGTTAGGCAAATACTGAAGTCCAAACTTACACCTAATTAAACTGGATGTTCCGTTGTAGCTGATGTATTCAAATATTGTTTTACTAGCCTTCCCTTCTGGCACGACACCATACAGACTGTCCTTTCTGGACAGGACACCTAATGGTTGGTCACACTCTATCACACCTCTGAAATATCCATATTAAGTCAATCCTTCATATCATAGTGCATTGAATATGCCAAAAATCTACACAGTGTACATCAACATCACACCTGGGAACTAGAAAAAGAAGTCATTGAACTATATTATTTTGGAGCACATCAATGGTGCTCTTAATGTGAAGAACCCCAAAACTATAGTTCATATAAGACAATAATTTACTACATTTTGTACATGACACTACATTTTGTACATTACACATAAATTTTCAATATTTTTCTAAAGAAATCTGTATTTCAAGTCATTTTTCAATTCAAATTTCCACCCTTGAAAAAAATGCAACAAAATGTATTCATATGAAAAATTCCTAAATATTATTAATTAATTAGCAACAGCCAAAAAAACCCTTTTATTTGCCTACAACCTTTTACAGCCTTACATCCTTTTACAGCTACTAAACCTAGTATTTATAGTCTACATCCTTTTACAGCTACTAAACCTTGTATTTATAGTCTACATCCTTTTACAGCTACTAAACCTTGTATTTATAGTCTACATCCTTTTACAGCTACTAAACCTATATAGTCTACAACCTTTTACAGCTAAACCTAGTATTTATAGTCTACATCCTTTTACAGCTTTATAGTCTACATCCTTTTACAGCTACTAAAACTAAACCTAGTATTTATAGTCTACATCCTTTTACAGCTACTAAACCTAGTATTTATAGTCTACATCCTTTTATAGCTACTAAATCTTGTATTTATAGTCTACATCCTTTTACAGCCACTAAACCTAGTATTTATAGTCTACATCCTTTTACAGCTACTAAACCTAGTATTTATAGTCTACATCCTTTTACAGCTACTAAACCTTGTATTTATAGTCTACAGCTACTTGAACCTTTTACACATCCTTTTACACTAAACCTTTTACAGCCACTACACCTTGTATTTATAGTCTACATCCTTTTACAGCTACTAAACCTTGTATTTATAGTCTACAACCTTCTACAGCCACTAAACCTTGTATTTATAGTCTACATCCTTTTACAGCTACTAAACCTTGTATTTATAGTCTACATCCTTTTACAGCCACTAAACCTAGTATTTATAGTCTACATCCTTTTACAGCTACTAAACCTAGTATTTATAGTCTACATCCTTTTACAGCTACTAAACCTAGTATTTATAGTCTACATCCTTTTACAGCTACATCCTTTTACCTTGTATTTATAGTCTACATCCTTTTACAGCTACTTAACCTAGTATTTATAGTCTACAACCTTTTACAGCTACAAAACCTTGTATTTATAGTCTACATCCTTCTACAGCTACTAAACCTTGTATTTATAGTCTACAACCTTTTACAGCCACTAAACCTTGTATTTATAGTCTACATCCTTTTACAGCTACTAAACCTAGTATTTATAGTCTACATCCTTTTACAGCTACTAAACCTTGTATTTATAGTCTACATCCTTTTACAGCCACTAAACCTAGTATTTATAGTCTACATCCTTTTACAGCTACTAAACCTAGTATTTATAGTCTACATCCTTTTACAGCTACTAAACCTTGTATTTATAGTCTACATCCTTTTACAGCTACTAAACCTAGTATTTATAGTCTACATCCTTTTACAGCTACTAAACCTTGTATTTATAGTCTACATCCTTTTACAGCTACTTAACCTTGTATTTATAGTCTACATCCTTTTACAGCTACTAAACCTAGTATTTATAGTCTACAACCTTTTACAGCTACTAAACCTTGTATTTATAGTCTACATCCTTTTACATCTACTTAACCTAGTATTTATAGTGTACAACCTTTTACAGCTACTAAACCTAGTATTTATAGTCTACATCCTTTTACAGCTACTAAACCTTGTATTTATAGTCTACATCCTTTTACAGCTACTAAACCTAGTATTTATAGTCTACAACCTTTTACAGCCACTAAACCTAGTATTTATAGTCTACATCCTTTTACAGCTACTAAACCTTTTTTACAGCTACTACAACCTTTTACAGCTACTTTATATTTATAGTCTACATCCTTTTACAGCTACTAAACCTAGTATTTATAGTCTACAACCTTTTACAGCCACTAAACCTAGTATTTATAGTCTACATCCTTTTACAGCTACTAAACCTTGTATTTATAGTCTACATCCTTCTACAGCCACTAAACCTAGTATTTATAGTCTACATCCTTTTACAGCTACTAAACCTAGTATTTATAGTCTACATCCTTTTACAGCTACTAAACCTAGTATTTATAGTCTACATACATCCTTTTACAGCTACATCCTTTTAAACTAAACCTTGTATTTATAGTCTACATCCTTTTACAGCTACTAAACCTTGTATTTATAGTCTACATCCTTTTACAGCCACTTAACCTTGTATTTATAGTCTACATCCTTTTACAGCTACTAAACCTTGTATTTATAGTCTACATCCTTTTACAGCGACTAAACCTAGTATTTATAGTCTACATCCTTTTACAGCTACTAAACCTAGTATTTATAGTCTACATCCTTTTACAGCTACTAAACCTTGTATTCATAGTCTACATCCTTTTACAGCTACTTAACCTATGGTTTATAGTCTACAACAGCTTTTGTATTTATAGTCTACAACCTTTTACAGCTACTAAACCTTGTATTTATAGTCTACATCCTTTTACAGCCACTAAACCTAGTATTTATAGTCTACATCCTTTTACAGCTACTAAACCTAGTATTTATAGTCTACATCCTTTTACAGCTACTAAACCTTGTATTTATAGTCTACATCCTTTTACAGCTACTAAACCTTGTATTTATAGTCTACATCCTTTTACAGCCACTAAACCTAGTATTTATAGTCTACATCCTTTTACAGCTACTAAACCTAGTATTTATAGTCTACATCCTTTTACAGCTACTAAACCTTGTATTTATAGTCTACATCCTTTTACAGCTACTTAACCTAGTATTTATAGTCTACATCCTTTTACAGCTACTAAACCTTGTATTTATAGTCTACATCCTTCTACAGCCACTAAACCTAGTATTTATAGTCTACATCCTTTTACAGCTACTAAACCTAGTATTTATAGTCTACATCCTTTTACAGCTACTAAACCTTGTATTTATAGTCTACATCCTTTTACAGCTACTAAACCTAGTATTTATAGTCTACATCCTTTTACAGCTACTAAACCTTGTATTTATAGTCTACATCCTTTTACAGCTACTAAACCTAGTATTTATAGTCTACATCCTTTTACAGCTACTAAACCTTGTATTGATAGTCTACATCCTGCTACAGCCACTAAACCTAGTATTTATAGTCTACATCCTTTTACAGCTACTAAACCTAGTATTTATAGTCTACATCCTTTTACAGCTACTAAACCTTGTATTTATAGTCTACATCCTTTTACAGCTACAAAACTATTTATAGTCCTCCTTTTACAGTACTTATATTTATAGTCTACATCCTTTTACAGCTACTACCTAATACCTACATCCTTTTACAGCTACTTTATTTAGTCTACATCCTTTTACAGCTACTAAACCTTATTTATAGTCTACATCCTTTTACAGCTACTAAACCTTGTATTTATAGTCTACATCCTTTTACAGCTACTAAACCTAGTATTTATAGTCTACAACCTTTTACAGCTACAAAACCTAGTATTTATAGTCTACAACCTTTTACAGCCACTAAACCTAGTATTTATAGTCTACATCCTTTTACAGCTACTAAACCTTGTATTTATAGTCTACATCCTTTTACAGCTACTAAACCTAGTATTTATAGTCTACATCCTTTTACAGCTACTAAACCTAGTATTTATAGTCTACAACCTTTTACAGCTACTTAACCTAGTTTTTATAGTCTACATCCTTTTACAGCTACTAAACCTAGTATTTATAGTCTACATCCTTTTACAGCTACTAAACCTTGTATTTATAGTCTACATCCTTTTACAGCTACTTAACCTAGTATTTATAGTCTACAACCTTTTACAGCTACTAAACCTAGTATTTATAGTCTACATCCTTTTTACAGCCACTAAACCTTGTATTTATAGTCTACAACCTTTTACAGCTACTAAACCTTGTATTTATAGTCTACAACCTTTTACAGCTACTTAACCTTGTATTTAAAGTCTACATTTTACAGCTACTAAACCTTTTACAGCTACCTTATTTATAGTCTACATCCTTTTAACCCTAGTATTTATAGTCTACATCCTTTTACAGCTACTAAACCTAGTATTTATAGTCTACATCCTTTTACAGCTACTAAACCTTGTATTTATAGTCTACATCCTTTTACAGCTACTTAACCTAGTATTTATAGTCTACATCCTTTTACAGCTACTAAACCTTGTATTTATAGTCTACATCCTTTTACAGCTACTAAACCTAGTATTTATAGCCTACAACCTTCTAGAGCTACTAACCCTTGTATTTATAGTCTACATCCTTCTGCAGCTACTAAACCTTGTATTTACAGCCTACATCCTTTTACAGCTACAAAACCTAGTATTTATAGTCTACAACCTTTTACAGCCACTAAACCTTGTATTTATAGTCTACATCCTTTTACAGCTACTAAACCTTGTATTTATAGTCTACAACCTTTTACAGCTACAACCTTTTACAGCTACTAAACCTTGTATTTATAGTCTACATCCTTTTACAGCCACTAAACCTTGTATTTATAGTCTACATCCTTTTACAGCTACTAAACCTTGTATTTATAGTCTACATCCTTTTACAGCTACTTAACCTAGTATTTATAGTCTACAACCTTTTACAGCTACAAAACCTAGTATTTATAGTCTACAACCTTTTACAGCCACTAAACCTTGTATTTATAGTCTACATCCTTTTACAGCTACTAAACCTTGTATTTATAGTCTACATCCTTCTACAGCTTAAACCTTGTATTTATCATTCCAAATTTTACAGGATGTGATTACGTGTAAGGACTAATGCAGTGTATTTTGATTACCTGTGCATAAATTGAAAAGTTATATTGCCTTGTATATTGATTACCTGTGTATATTGATAACTATAATTTGCAAATAAAAGGGGAATAACTCTGTAAAATAATAAATGCAAAATTCTGCAATGTGTAATCAAGAATATTTGTAACAGGCGTCATTAAAATTAGCCAATAAATAAAAGTTAGAGAGTTCTTACAAAGAGACCTCACATCAAAACAATCCTGGCTGTTAGCAGATAGAGGCACAAATCATAGAGAGTACAACTAGAGTAAATATTGGACATACTACGTAGATTAGCGTAGCCCAGATCTTTGCCAAGAATGAAGGGGATGGAGTTGAAACGATATCTTCCACAGGGGTGGACAGGAATTGAAGACGGTTTGTTTAACACAATAACATTCTCATCATCTGCAACAATTTCCAGTGGTTTTCCAGTGACAGGATTCTCATGTCTATCAAAATAACAAAGTTTTGGGTACAAAAACATACTGTAACAGACATACCTGAAATAATTGTAATGTCATTGTCTTTTGATAATCTTAAATATTCAACTAAAAATAAAAAAAAGCAGAAAATTAAGTTCCAGTTTTTCAAGTATAAAATATTGATTACCTGTGTTTTTGACAACCCATATATATTGATTACCTGTGTATTTTGATTACCTGTGCAATTTGATTACCGGTGTATGGTGATAACCTGTGTATATTGATTACCGGCGTATTGTGATAACCTGTTTATTTTTATTACCTGTGTATATTGATTACCTGTGTAATTTGATTACCTGTGTATATTGATAACATGTGTATATTGATAACATGTGCATATTGATTACCTCTGTATATCAATTACCTGTGTATTTTGATTACCTGTGTGTTTTGATTACCTGTTTATATTGATAACATGTGCATATTGATTACCTCTGTATATTAATTACCTGTGTATTTTGATTACCTGTGTGTTTTGATTATCTGTATAGTTTGATCACCTGTTTATTTTGATTACCTGTGTATACAGATTATCTGTGTATTGTGATTACCTGTGTATTTTGATTACCGGTGTATTTTGACTTCCTGTTTATTTTGATTACCTGTGTATATTGATTACCAGTGTATTTTGATTACCTGTGCATACTGATTACCTCTGTATATTGATAACCGGTTTATTTTGATTACCTGTGTATATTGATAACCTGTGTATATTGATTACCTGTGCAATTTGATTACCTGTATTCATTGATTACCTGTGTATTTTGATTACCGGTGTATTTTGATTACCTGTGTTTTTTGATAACCTGTATTCTTTGATTACCTCTGTATATTGATAACCTGTTTATTTTGATTACCTGTGTATTTTGATCACCTGTGCATATTAATTACCTGTGTTTTTGATTACCTGTGTATTTTGATCACCTGTGCATATTCATTACCTGTGTATGGTGATTACCGGTGTATATTGATTACCTGTGTATATTGATAACCTGTGCATTTTGATTACCTGTATTCATTGATTACCTGTGTATTTTGATTACCTGTGTATTTTGATAACCAGTGTTTATTGATCATCTCTGTATTTTGATAACCTGTATTCATTGATTACCTGTTTATTTTGATTACCTGTACATATTGATTACCAGTGTTTATTATATATATGTGGATTACCTGTGTATATTGATTACCTGAATTCATTGATTACCTGTGTATTTTGATTACCTGTTTATTTTGATTACCTGTATATTTTGATTTCCTGTGTATTTGATTACCTGTGTATATTGATTACTGGTGTATTGTGATTACCTGTGTATTTTGAATACCTGTTTATTTTGATTACCGCTGTATATTGATAACCTGTGTGTTTTGATAACCGGTGTATTTTGATTACGGGTGTATTTTGATTTCCTGTTTATTTTGATAACCTGTGTATATTGATTACCTGTGTATTCTGATTACCTGTTTACTTTGATTACCTGTATTTGATTACCTGTGTTTTTGATTACCTGTGTATTTTGATTACCTGTTTACTTTGATTACCTGTATTTTATTACCTGTTTTTGATTACCTGTTTATTTTAATTACCTGTGTATTTTGACTACCTGCATATTTTGATTACCTATATTCATTGATTTCCTGTGTATTTTGATTACCTGTGTATTTGATTAACTATGTATTTTGATTACCTGTTTATTTTTATTACCTGTATTCATTGAACACCTGTGTAGTTTGATTACCTGTTTATTTTGATTACCTGTATTCATTGATTACCTGTTTATTTTGATTACCTGTATACTTGATTACCTGTGTATTTGATTAACTATGTATTTTGATTACCTGTGTTTTTATTACTTGTGTATTCTGATTACCTGATTGATTTGATTACCTGTGTTTATTGGTTATCTCTGTATTTTGATTACCTGTGTATTCTGTTTGATATGAAATCATTTGACTTTAGTATTCTGTCAGCAGTTGTTATCACTTCACCATTTATCATTAAGTCACCATCTCTCAGGATATCTTCCTGTCACAACAGAATACATTTTCCAGTTACGGCATAATTCTGATGAATGTTAACATACATGTACATTCAATATTTCAAGAGTATTTATATCTTAATCTTACATTTTTCTGTATACCAACTTCAGAACTCCAAAACCCTGATGTCTTCTAAAGATCAATTTTAATGTATTACCTGAATACTGCAATTTGTTATGGTTTTAAAAAATATTATTGGAGAAATAGAATATTTGAAGTTTTGCTGATCAATGTCAATCACTGAGACAAGAAATAAGGAAGAGGCCCATGGGCATTAGCGGTCATCTGACTATAAAGACCTACAAGGTCATTCCAGAATGATTCAGGTCCATTATCTGCACCCTGTGCCTTCTGGTCATTGAGAAGATTTTAATGCATTTGAACCCTGTGACCTCAAGGTAAAACATTTGAATAAACTTGGTAGCTATCCATTCAAGCCAGGTACAGGCTACTGGGTCTTTTGGTTGGTGGATAAAAAGTTTATGCATGGCACACAGCCAAAAAAATTCAAAATAGTTATAAAAAAATGATACAGTAAGAAATCATGAAAATAATTGATAAATGGGAAGCTATTTAGTAATAAATAAATAAATGTAATTTTAATATATTATGTAAAAATTTCATGTACTACCCACCACACTTTTACTTCGTTCCTGAGGATCTACCTGAAATTCTGCTAAAATATCAGGGAGAGTTTTGCCTATCCAGCGTTCCTTGACGTATGATTCAAACCTGTAGTAGTAGGGGTACACTTTTCTTAGACCTGCCAAAAATAAAATATTGTAATGCACCATCAATATTTATTCCCTTGTATACAACACATCAAACAGTTAAAAACTTGTTTTCAGTGTGAAACCAAGGGATGTTGCAGTTTTAATGCTACAAGAGACCCCTGGGTCTGAACAGACACCTGTCTACAAAACACTTTCTACGGAGAGAATCACTGATACTCTGACATACTACCTTCTACAAAATTCCATAAACCACCTGTTACAAGAAGGCAGCTGTGACTCAGTTGTCATAACACAGTGGTTTTGTATCAGGTAGCAACTAATTACAAGCAAGCAAAGATTGAGATCAAATTCCTTCCACCATTATTGTAGCCTGTGACTAGAGAGCAAACAGATCACATGACCATCATTTCCTATAAAATCATTATGTTCACCTTGCCAAACATAATGCCTTAGATAAAAGATTCAGAAAGAGTAGGATTTTCAAATATTACTATTATTTTGTCCTGCCTTTCTGGCCCCAAGAGTCGCAACAACATTGCATATCTTGCTGGAGTGATATTTCCAACAAAACAAAGTTACAGACTGCAAGTACAAAGGAGGAGTAGGATTGACCAAATGTCCCCTTTAGGGGATACCCTTCCCTAAACTTGTCTCCAAGAGCAAGAAATAATCAGCTGACATTGATGATGTTCCAGACTAAAATTGGATGTTAACCTACAGTAAGGAGCATTTAAAATACAAGTAGCTAGTTATTTTTATATAAATTTTATTCTCTTAACAACAATAGCAAAACTAGCTATCAGGTTAAAACAACACGGTTGGGCAGGTGATCCTATACCTTTTCACATCCAATCTGGAAATCAAACCTCAGTCAGCTAGATAAAAGGTGAGTCAATTACCACTGCACCACCAGACCATCTATGTTTTTCCTTTGACCTACTGCTGCTCTTTATGTGACTCCAGGTATCCAACCAACTTTATCTATGTAAGAAATTATTTCCTTTCTCCAGTTATGTTTCAGGTCAAATTTGTTTGGAACCAGCTACAGTAAAACACGTTTATAACAAACACGCTTACTACCAATTAATGGTCATAACACAGTGTTTTTCATTCCCCATCAATTGCCCTATCATTTATATGTTAAAATCAAAATATATAACAAATTTCACATAACGAATTAATGTTTATGATGTAGCAGCTTTTGGGTCCACTCAGGTGAATATCAGTGCTAAATAATAATCATATAACGTAGTGGCCTCAGGCAGTCATCACACCTGAGTGAAGTCAGCTGTGTGTCCTGCATTGACACCCGTGTCCAGGTAAGTTTCAATTACGTACAGGTAAGATTGACGAATAAAGTGAGTTGTTATACATACCTACGTTCTGTTGTTTTTTGAGTTTTGAGTTACTGAACTGTTTTTATCGATACAAAATCTTTGCATTCTGTTCTTGATGTTGTCATTTAGGAAATGGCTTCGTTGTTGCTGTCTCGTAAGCGGAAGGCATTAACAATTGAAACCAAACACCAAATTATTTGTGAAGTAGACAATGGAGAAAAGGCTAAAAAGGATATTACAGATAGCTTCGAAATTCCAGCAACAACACCGAGTACAATTTTTAAAAATCGAAATGAAACTTTGAAGCAATATTGGTCTGCAAATTCATCGCCAAGCAGGAAACGAAACCAAAGTGCAGCATATGAAAATGTTGAAAAAGCTCTCCATCAATGGTTTATAGAAAAATGGAACAAGAACATTTCATTATCTGGGCTCAGGAGGCTGTGATTTCAAAGCTAACAATGGGTGGTTGGAGACATAATATCATGTGTCGCTCTGTCTGTGGGGAAAGTGCTGTTGTATGTCCTGAAATAGATGAGTGGGTAAAAACAAACTTTCGAAACACATTGAACAGTATGCCGCGGGAGATGTGTACAATGCTGATGAAACTTTTTTTTATCGTCTATTACCAAATAAAATGTTACAACTAAAAGGTGAAGGTTATTGCATCAAAAGAAAGATTGACAGTGTTATTAACAGCAAATATGAACAGATCTGACAAACTGAAACCTCTCGGTATTGGAAAGTTTCAAAATCCACGATGTTTTAAGGGTGTGAAATCTCTACCTGTTGTATATAAGGCAAACACTAAAGCCTGGATGACATCTAACATTTTTTACGGATTGGATTAAAACTCTGGATCGACAAATGATAGCACAAAACCATAAAATTCTTATGATCGTAGATAACAGCGCAGCACAGTCTAATGTTGAAAATCTTCAAGCAATTAAACTGGCCTTCCTCCCGCTAAACACCACAAGTAAACTCCAACCAATGGATCAAGGCATTATCTACAACACCAAGGTGAAATACCGATTGGCACTTGTGTCATATCTTTTGAAGGTAAGTGTTAGTGGTTTGTTATTATGCTGTTTCATTCACAGAATATCATGATGTTCATAGTAACTCATTACAAAATTATTCACTTTCATACACAAGTATTATCACACAATGGCTGGTTTGTTAATTATTTCTGATGTATGTTTCAATATCACATGACTTTGTAAAGTTATATTTACAAATTATTTAATTTCAGTGTCATGACAAAAACCAAGATCCAGGTGTTAATATATCAATGGCCATCCGTATGCTTTATAATGCTTGGAGAGATGTTTCAGCTACATGTATTGCAAAGTGTTTTGGTAAGGCAGGTTTTGCCAGGCATACAACATTCGACAAAGACGATGAGTTGCCTCTATTTTTACTAACTGGTGACGAAGACGATGACATCTCTCTTCAGAATCTAATTACTAAACTGAAAGAGAAAAGTGGTAATTCTGGACTGGAGCACAAGGTGACAATGGCAGACTACGTAAATGTTGATGCTAACATTATGAATTCAGCGGAAATGTCTGATTTTGACATAGTTGATTCGGTATTCAACGATGTAGGGAACGTGGAGAACGATGATGATGATGACGTAACTATAGACATTGATAAAGACTCCCTCTCCAGTGTAGCGGACGCACAGGAATATCTGACAAAACTGCATCGTTTTATAGAATGCCAGTCAGATATTTCTGAATCTGCATTCAATGTATTACATACCATTCAAAAGACCCTTAACAAGATTCGAGACAGCAACAAAATGCACACTGTCATTTGTGATTTTTTCAAGTAAATATTCAAGTTTTTCTGAAGCGATGTGAATTGTTGTTTATTTGGACATACTAAACATGTAATAAAATACAGTCATGAAATAAGACTCCTTTATTTTCATTGTATGTACAATTCCTATTACGAATTATGCCTGACTGTTTGCCAAAATTAGTTATATATGTATAACAAACTATATTTATAACAAACTAATTTTCTTGGTCCCTAGAGGTTCGTTATAAACATGTTTAACTGTACATTTCTTTTCCCATGGGTAAATCAACCTCATTCTTATTAACAATATGTTTCCCCAATGACATCTTTACATACCATTTTCATAGTAATAATCTGTTAGTCCAAAGTAGTCTGAAGAAAAACCAGGATTTAAGTTCTTTGTCAGGGATGTAACACGTGCTGCTTTTCTTCTCTCCTTGTTGATAGCATTTCTTTTCATCTGAAAGAAATTTATAAAAAAAATATACTGAAATGAATTTGAGGAAATATATAGTATCATAAATAGGTCGGTGAAGATAACTTCAAACGTTGGAAGAAAAAATCGCACATGAAAACCAAAGAATACTTATTTATGTACAATTAAATGTTTTGCATGGTATATTGTTCCGTGAACAACCAGAGTAATTTTGAGGCAACTTGTTCTCTTTGAATCTATTGTGGTAAAGTGTCTTAAGTGCCCAAAGAGAAAATGACAGCACCAAAGACTAGCCTGTTTTCTAACTTCCTAAGAACACATGTAATGCAAAGGGTGGGGAGCCTCGCACATGAAAACCAAGGAATACTTATTTATGTACAATTAAATGTTTTGCATGGTATATTGTTCCGTGAACAACCAGAGTAATTTTGAGGCAACTTGTTCTCTTTGAAAGAATAGGTGACTACTACATTGAATAACAAAATGACGTTTGTGCAACATTAGAAAGTGGTAATGTTTTACATTACAAAATAAAAGGGGGTTACCAAAATCATTCAAGCGTGAAAGTCTGTATTAGCGAAAGAGCTGCACGATGTTTTCTGCGACTAATTTGTATTTTCGCTTGAATTTCATAAACATTCAAACTGACAACTGTTCTATAGATCCTTAGAAATCACAGAATCTTGCTATCTATCAACTTTATCATTATGCCCCGGCTGTCACAAGTACAGAGAGAAAGGGCTGTAGGCATGATCCAGGCTGGAGAGTCTCGCCATCGAGTTGCACGGCATTTTGGTTGCAGTGTTAAGACAATTTGCCAGTTGGTAAGTCGTTTAAACCAAACTGGGTCAACATCTGATCGTCCCCGAAGCGGCCGATCCCATAAAATGACCACCAGGGATGACCATCGTATACGATTGATACACTTGCGCAATGGATTCGTAACTGCAGTAGAGACTACAAGGACATTGTTTGGGCGCCGTGTGTCTACCCAAACAGTCCGCAACAGGTTGAGGGCCTACCAATTGAAAGCGCGGCGTCCCTACACTGGACACAATTTGTCGCAACGTCACCGTAATAATCAACGTAACTGGACCCGTGTTCACCTGCTGTTGGGCCTTACGACAATGGAACAATGTTCTGGTTTCAAATGAGTCCAGGTTTTGTCTGCAACACGGTGACGAAAGGCGCAGAGTGTGGAGGCGACAAGGGGAGTGTTTTGCGAACTGCTGCGGTGCAGAACAGAAAGGCTTGTTGTGTTAAATGGCAATTTAAGCGACATTCGATATCTGGACGAAATTTTAAGACCAGTGGTTCTGCCATTCTTAATACGCCATGGCGTTAGTGCCATTTTTCAACAGGATAACGCACCAGCGCACACCAGTCGTGTCAGCAGAACTTTCTTGCAGCAGAATAACACACAGGTGTTAGATTGGCCATCTAAATCACCTGATTTGTCACCGATTGAGCATGTCTGGGACGTTCTTGGGCGACGCTTGAGAGAACTTCAAAATCAGCCGTCAAACTTGCAGGAGCTGGCCCAAGCCTTGATCACTGAATGGAACAACATCTCTCCTCGAATTATCTGCCGGTTTACGAGTTCCATGCGATGACGCTGCAATGCTGTTTACTTCGCAAACGGTGGCCATACCCGTTACTAATGGTGTTACCTTTGAAATTGACCCCAACGTCCTTTACAGTCGAATAAAATCAACTGAACGCAAAGTTTTATAATGAACCATGACTGCAGTTTTATCAGAATTGATCAATTACTTTATTTGTACATGATTGGTAAGGATTTATGAAGAGGTTAATTAATTAATCACAGAATAAAGTAGTGTTACCTTACTTTTTTTTGTTTAGTATATATCTTAATTTTCGTGTACATAGTATCATTTAGTTGGAGTCTGAGGCTGAGCCAGTGTCCATCACTTCAGGGGAAAGCGGTAAATCACAATAAGTAGACTCAGAATCTCCACTATGTGTGGCGGTGGAGGGCATGTCAACCGCGACTCTGCTTTCTGTGTGCAGTTGTGTTTTGCTGGAACTTGACTTGATGTGCCGTGATGTTTTTGTTTTCGACATCCATAGTGAGAGGCAAACAGAACTATCAAAATCATGCGATGACGCTGCAATGCTGTTTACTTCGCAAACGGTGGCCATACCCGTTACTAATGGTGTTACCTTTGAAATTGACCCCAACGTCCTTTACAGTCGAATAAAATCAACTGAACGCAAAGTTTTATAATGAACCATGACTGCAGTTTTATCAGAATTGATCAATTACTTTATTTGTACATGATTGGTAAGGATTTATGAAGGGGTTAATTAATTAATCACAGAATAAAGTAGTGTTACCTTACTTTTTTTGTTTAGTATATATCTTAATTTTCGTGTACATAGTATCATTTAGTTGGAGTCTGAGGCTGAGCCAGTGTCCATCACTTCAGGGGAAAGCGGTAAATCACTATAAGTAGACTCAGAATCTCCACTATGTGTGGCGGTGGAGGGCATGTCAAACGCGACTCTGCTTTCTGTGTGCAGTTGTGTTTTGCTGGAACTTGACTTGATGTGCCGTGATGTTTTTGTTTTCGACATCCATAGTGAGAGGCAAACAGAACTATCAAAATCTGAGATGGTAAGTCCCATTGCACAAATTTTCATCGTGTCCTGAAGAGAACTTTGTGTGAGGGTAGATCTGAATTGACTCTTTATTCTTTTCATTTCAGAAAAATTACGTTCACATTTTGCTGTTGACGGGGAGAGGGTCATCATTATTTGTACTAAAAGAAGAATATTGCCAATGCCTTCTGGCTTAGACTGAAGAAGTGATGCTAGAATTTCCACTGGCTGAACAGACCTAAGTGGACTAATCCTTACCTTTTAGTTCTAGCCATTCCTCTTTGACATTCTCTTGCTCTTCATTTGACAATAAAGCACTGAAATACTTACAGAGATTATTTATTGTTTCATTGCCATGTTTTGCCAGATCAACCCTGTTCATTGGCCAGACTCTATAGTCTATGATCAAATACTTCCATGTCCACCATTGGGTGATCCTTAAGAGATCTAAATCTTGATCTATGTACTGATTGACACTGTCAAGACAATCAGTAAATACTTTATCAAACTGCATAGCTGATAACGTTTTGTCATCAATAGATGATTTCCCACAGTTTTACACTGACTTTGTTTTGTCAAATGAATCAATGATTGCTTGGTAAGTTTGCCAATTAGCATGCTTTAACTCCTCAAGTCTGAGCAGACAAGTGTCAAGTTTAGTACTGTTTTATTTACAACAAACGATTCAGCCTGGAATTGCTTACTAAGCTCAGAGAGAATCTGTAGTACATCACTGAGGAAATATAAAAACCAAAGGAAGTGCTCTGAAAGGATTTCCTTTAGGAACCCTTTCACTTAATATGCCTCCTCTCCCTTACCTTGAGAGGAGTTCTCAAAATGGGTGACAATAGTAAGAAGAGATTTTATGACAGCTAGAATGACTCTGTGCCTGGAAGCTACCCAACGTGTTTTCTGTATGCCTGTTTAAGACACAGGATTTTCATCAATAATTGCTGCAATTGCTTTCATCTCCCGCCTTCTGTTGAGTGAATAATAGTAGAATTTATAAATATTGTTCACAGTATCCTGAAACTGTTTCAGGTAGGGAACTGTTTTCACTGAATCCAAAACAACTAACTCAACACAATGAATTTTGACAATATCATGTTCAACTTTTTGTTTTAACTTAATAGCCACCCCACCCTTTATTCCCATCATTACTGATGCCCATCAAATTTACACCCAACTTAAATTTACACCTATGTTCACTTCCTTTAAGTCTTCCAGTATACCTGATAAAACACCATCAGCATCAGCTGACTTCAGAGTAATAATACCGACAAACTCAGTATGGGGAAGGTCGTCATTCCCAACAAAACGTGTAAAAATTGTTTCTTGTTCTGCAACTGAACTATCAGTAGAACCATCTGAGAAAACAGTAGTAAACCAGCTTTCTTTTACATTCTTTTCCAGCTTGTTCATTTCTACCAGCACGATACAACAGTTGTATCGTGCTCCAGATAACTTTTTGACATGTGGGGTTTTCACTCCTACCTTTATAAATTGAGGGGTTTTTTTCACCCCTGCCTTCATCAAGTGTATGGGTTTTTCCATATTAGGGTAACACTGAATTTGTGAACATTTTTGACAGCGCCATATTTGCTATGCGACTGGTTTATAATCACGATCAAGAAAGCGCTTGTTACGAGTTTCGTTTACTTGATAAGTGTCTGTTTGACTTAGATTATTGAGTTTTCACTACGTAATATTGGAGCCGGACATTGACGCAGAGTCCGGATTTCGCACGGGTTAATGACGCAAATCTTATTTTTTTCCTAGCGTGAAATTAGAAATATTGTGCGTGAAAACGCATTCACGCAGGCTATCTGGAGCACTGCAACTGACAAATTCTTCACACTTATCTGCATTACAATACAAGTGACCTAAGTTAATTTTATTTTTTCCTGTAGGTTGCACAATTTCCCAAACTTGGAGAAAGGCTCATGATTTACAGCTATGTAGTATGCCGTATTGAATAATGAAGTCATTCTTTTGTCATCGCTTTCATCATCCTTTTTAGCTTCAGTGAAAATCTATGCAGTGATAGACATTGTGCGCAACTTAGGCCTAGCTGTAGTGTTTATTTACATCTGACGGACCAAGTGCTGTTAAATACAGACCGGTACATGATGGTACTGCCCAAGAGCACCTGACATCAGTACAGGGAACGAACTTGGCACTCGCCTGCTCGCCAATGACGAGTATATCATTATTGAGCGAGTAAAATCATAAACTGACTCGTCCGGTTTGGTGAGTACTACAAATTCCTCTCTCCAAAATAATGTTTTTAATTTCTTTGACCAATACGCTGAAGTAAGTTTGTAATATATCCGAGTTTACAGTAACTTAATCGTACAGTAGTAATGTGTCCGTAATGTGTCCTATAGTAAGTACACGTAACACTTTTCTTTTTCTTACGTCACCATTTGTTGATGGGTTGTGCCACTGACAAATACAAGCCGCATTCTGATTGGCAGATACACTGTAATGGAACGCTAATCATTAGCAGTGTTATATCCAGCGTGTTTCCGGTTCATCAATTCAACATGTAAACGTCCCTATTACAATATGGCTTCACTGGCACAAAAGTGCCAGTTGTGAAGCCGATTGGGAATTACAATAAAACCAAACTGAAAGAATATGAGAAAATGACATTGATGACATGTCACTGTCAGACATATCTGACAACGAACTATCCCTAGAAATGTGTTCTGACTTTTGTCATCAACTTCAATAAATAAAATTCACCAAATGTTAACATGTCTCAATTCTTTATTGTTAAACCTAATGAAAATGAATCAATGTAGCCATTAATAATTTGGGCAAGTAGAATTTTGTTTTGGGCGAGTTGATTTCTATAGGCACTTGCCCGGTTCGGCGAGTAAAAATATTTAAGTTCTCACACTGTCAGTATGACTGCGGGAAAATGACTAAGGTATTCTGAATGCTATATTTGTTTTCATGGGAGTTCCAGTGTAATTAAAAGTTAGAGTGCAGACTGGAATATTTTGTTTTCGAAGTACCGTAAACATGTTTCTTTGTTTTAAATTCTCTTTACATTTAAGTTGTAACATTAATGCCATTGGAAAAAAAAATACTCGTCCGACGGACTACTGACAAAGATAAATCTGGTTGTCCAAGACAATTTTCACTCGTCCATGATGACCAGACGAGTGCTTTTCCAGACCCCTGTGATTGCACTGGTATATTATTAAAAGTAGAAGTTGAAAAGCCGGTTACTATTATGCAACATCTAAAAAAAAGTGGCAACGTCCATTTAGTCTATTGGTAGAGTGCCTGGCAACAGACTGAAGCATTGGTAGATTGAAGTATCACACTGGGTGCAGGATTATCTTTTATTATTCCTTCCTATCACAGATTAATTAATCACCTGACTTCTCCAAGGGTAGAAGATATAGGAGATTGGGATGCTTCCTTGGAGATATTGAACCTGTGTTGTTGCTGTCATCAGGATCAAAGACTTTATGAAAGAGACAGTATACATATACATGTAGCATAGAACTTGAGAGTACATACAAAGGTCACATTACTAGCCACAGATAGTGAGATTTTTTATTTAGTCGAACAGTAAAGTGTCTTGCTAAAGACTGAAATGACAGTGGTTTGAACCCCAGTGGTAGCAATTTTTTTTACAAAGCTCCATCCTATCATTTGTGTATACAAAATTATTTTTGTCCTGTAAATGTAGTTAGGAATGTAACAGAGGTCATTCTTTATTTAAATGCCTCCATTAGGATTCAAACCCGGGACAGAGTAATAACTACATATTTATTTATATAATTATCTCATCTTAACCTACCGTTTACCTGGGCCCAGTCCTGAGTCCTAACCAAAGGTCTTCCATAGGGACAATCGGCCATGTACAAGTGTGCTCCCAAGCATAGCAATCAGCGAAGATTAACTTGAATTATGAGACACTAATTAGAAAATTGGGCAGTCTATTCACCTACATGTAGCTACGCCTTGAATATGTGAGCAGGTGATCAGCTTTATCAATTTGACAAATATTGCAAGGTTATTGATGACCTACCTAGCAGGATCTCTGAAATTGAGATCCATATGATCAGGAGACGGGGCTGGAGTGAAAATTGGGAACTCCTCACTGAATCAGAAAGTGGGCAGGTATGCCTCTGGCTTACTAGTTTGATGCTCAACCAGTCAAGTCAAAGAAAAGTTCTCCCTAGCCAAGCGGTATACTGAGGCTAGTATTTACCATGATTACATGCACTCCCCCTCCAAGAAAGAATTTGTTTTCGAGTTTCCAGGACTTACAGCGATGCTTGTAGGGTATGGCTAAGTGTTATTGCCTAGTCAATACATGGGCGGCAATGTAACAGTGTAGATTGAGCTAAAGAGTTCTTCGATCGGTTAAGCGTTGTACAAGTAAGCTACAGGTCCCGGGTTTGAATCCTTAGGGAGGCATTGAAATAAATAATGATCTCTGTTACAGGAGCATACAATTAAAAGAACCACATTTTCTAGTTTGGTCTATACTACAATGAACTCACCCTTTTAAGTGCTCGCTTGGAGAGTCCAGTAAGGTGTGGTAGCATTCCATCAGCCTCATTTTGGCATTTTTTGGAACCAGAGGATTTGTTAGTATTGTTCAAATTTACTTCATGTGTGTCGATTTCCAGCCTTGATGCGATAGGTTCAACTTTCGATTCCTCTTCCATTTCGGTGTCATCTGTGTCAACTTTACTTTTTCCAGAGCTCGTCATAACACTATTTGATTTAATAACGTGACTTAATGAAAAATCTCGAAAACAAAAATTTCCAAAGGGAATCTTATTCTTGAACGATTTCAAGTTTTTCTGAAACATAAGATTCATGGAAGAATGGGTGTTATTTTAATTAACAAACGTTGAAAATCCATTAAATGTAATAACTGTCATTAAATAATAGCAAGTAAGTGGTAAAATCCCACATGAAACGATACGCATATGATTATTGAATATAACGTGTCTCTTCCATGGGCGCAGACATTTTGAAACCTTACACTTCCGGTTACGGTTAGGCTGCTTTCATTCTCAAGCCGGCGTATTTCCGGTGAACAGACGATTTTGTTCTTTCACAAACAGGAGTCGAGTAGGAAGGTTTGGACCATATAATTATACAAATTTTATCTTTAAGTTAGAGTAGGAAGGTTTGGACCATATAATTATACAAATTTTGTCTTTATTGTTTGATACTAAAATGTGTTATTGTATTTAAATGCTTTCTGACCAACAAATACAAGTTTGATCGATTCTACTTAGCCTGTAGTAGTCCGCGTCACACTGATGATGTTTAGAGCGGTATTTTCGCCTGGTTCATATGCCAAATCACTTAGCATAAGGGGGTTTTCTTCAGCTGAGTGAATTTACGTGTTGACAGTGATTGAAGCCATTTTTTTAAAAAAATCTTTTTGATAAAGTTGATAGTTTAGATATAGTTTGCTTGTTTCAATGCAATTACTAACACTAAAATCTCAAATCAAATTCCTGTTAAGACCAGTCAAGGAAGCATAGACATGTTTTATATACAAGTAACATTTACATAATAGGTTCCGTTCAGGCATTTATACTATCGCAAAATTAAGGTGAGTAGGAAATTAATGGAGTTATAGACAGGTATACACATATAGCTCATTGCTATATATCAAATATATATTGTAGATGGAAGCCTTATAGTCAGAAAAAGTTGGTCTCTGCTCTTAACTTAAATTCAACAACCCAAGCAAAGTTATAGAGTTTTGTTCAGTATATGTATTGAATTCCAGATACAAAGAAATTCAATGTGTTTTGTTCTTGCATGTGCACATTTTATGTAACTTCATCTTCTTCTTTTCAGCATATGTCCATTGCAATTCTATTATCTGACAATCAATGTCAGAAAGAATAATCATGTTTTGCTATCAAGGGGTCTAAAGAGAGTGCTCATTGCTTTGAAAATTACTGTAAATTAAGTGATCAAGACATCATGATCACAAATTTCCAGAAAAAAGTTTTAATAGTCATACAATGTAACAGACACTTCCACCTAAAGACACAGTGTTATCAAAGTTCAGTTATATTGCGTGTTGAAATACCATTCACATACATTTTAAATATAAGCATATTACTTGACTGATCAACATGCATATGATAAAGGAATGTAACCCCATGTAGGGACTCGGGGGAATAATGCCTGGCATTGTCCTACAGACATCGCTGTAGTTATTTCCTGAAGGAGGAGTATGTAATCCTAGTAAAATACTTGCTGCAAGATACTACTTGGCTAGAGAGATTTTCTCTTTAGCTCAATAGGTTGAGCACCAGAGTAGTAGACTAGAGGTCCCAGGTTTTAATCCAGGTGGGGCCATTGAAAGAAATAATAACACCTGTTACAGGAAACTAAGTCATGAATAGGTTTTGACTTTTCATAAACTGCTGAATAAAAATTAAATTGAGTCAAATGGATTAAAATCACTACAACTCTGTTAGTTGCATGTTAGACTATGCAGTCTCAGCTGAAGATCTGAGTTGCATGTTTCCGCAACCCTCTGTGCTGAGATCAGTGCTTTTCAGGAGAGAAACAGATGCAGTTTTTTGTCCTTGGGAATGACTCTTTACTAACTATAGCTAAGTTACATTTGAAGGCAACAAGCCTCACATGATATGTTATTGTTCATTGATATAGCCTTCAGCTAGGTAATAAACTACATGTACCTATGTACAAGCCAAGACCCCATTTGATATTTGTCATTTCCATTTCAGATTGACTTTGATCTAGTTATGACGCTGAAAAAAAGCAGTATCTTGTGAATTACTTCTAGCCTTACTTGAAAGAAGACAGACAAGATGAAACTGTCCTTTAGCCTGGTAGTTTCTGCATTATTTCTTGTCTACATTGCCCACTCTATGTGGGTTATATATGGGATATTTTTTCCTTCTCCTTGTGCCAAAGGTCGGAAATGCATTTACCCATTTATTGAACAGAAACCAAAACCACAGTTAGAGGTAAGTTTTGATAATAGTTATAATATTGTTAGAACTACAAGTAATCATTATTTAAGAAATGGAGCAAGTTGGTTTACAATTACTTGTATAAAATATTCTTATCAAATAGCCTTATATATCTCATAAGAAAATCCAAGAGTTACCAAAATACTGCAAATTATTTTTGTTGTTCAAAGGTTTGCTATCTTAACAAAAGTTGAAGCGATGGGATGTACAGTATTCCTTACAAAAATAATATAACTTAGTTTTCTTATTTTATTCTCAAAGCATTTGCTCTTTAGCAATATCTTTTGTTATTTTGTATGAAAAATTCAAACAATGAATTCTTTACAAAAAAAACTATTATTTTGGCCCCTCAAAAACTTTAGTTATCATGGGAAATAGGTCTTAGGATGACAAAAGAATATTTTCATTAATATTAAAGTGACATAAGGCTATTATGTTTATTCAAACACTTGATTTATCAGACTAGTCACAAAAGCATTTTAATTCTTTCAAGATCAAACACTTAAGATATAGCAGGTAGTTTTCACAAGCACTTCAGGTTCAAAAACATTTACCATGCTATACGCTGAATCTGGTTTTTTTCAGCTGCAAGTTTTTACTTCTACAAAGCAAAAAGGTGTCAGCGAAAGTGATCTGAATTTGATTTGGAGAAATGGCAGTCTGGATATTGATGAGACACTTGTAAAGTAATAATTCACACTTTCAATAATTATTTCCTTACAATAGCATTCACTGCAAGAAGGCTCATTGAGAACAATATATAGTCAACACAAACAAGTTTTCATACCTTCAAGAAGAAGTTAGAGGTGTGTATTAGGGCCTGGTATTTAGATTTGTTAGTTGTGTTTTGGTTACTGATGCTTGCTATCTACTGTACCAGTTCTTGCGAAACTTGTTGCATTATGAATTATGATCTGTAGTTTTAATGCAAATTATTTCATTTAGCAATTGATTTCTCTGGGAGATTCATCCAACATATTATTATAATCTGCTATTTAGGTTTTCATGATAATAGTGCTTCTCACTACAAAATGATTTTGAGGCACTTGATAATGAAGCCTTGGCTAAGATGTTGATATTTTCTTTTACAGGGAGCTCAATGTTTCCATGCCATGGAAAACAAGAAGGAATGGAACACTCTACATTCATGTGTTTGTCCATCCCAAGGGGGAAGACCCATTTGAGAGCACATACAGTGTACATACATTGGTGTCCATGACGACATACGCTCTGCCACAAGCAGGGTTCTTCAGTCTCCTTGGTGATAACAGAAATGAGGTAAACTGGTACAGTGTAACATATGTGTGTTATTGGGAAATATTTGAAATTAAGGAAAAATTGATTGATAAAGAAAACAGTATAAATTAATCAATTGAATTATCGATAAGGCAATTACTAAATCAATTGAAAATTGATTAAGAAAACAATATAAATTAATCAATGTCAAAATTATAAAAACAATTGATCATTAGTTAGGAATATCTCAAAGATATCAGAAATACAGAGATTAAGTCTAATTCCTTAATTTATCAGATATTTCATACAGAGGTTATTTACTACTATTTATTTACTATTGTCACTTATAGTAGAAATTTCATATACAAGGTAAAGGAGCAGATTCAAATTTAAAACTATCAAATACAGAATTTTTTTGAACATTTACAATATTTTCAATGCAAAAATTAGAAAGCTCCAACTAATAGTATGCTACTGCCAGAATTTGATTGTAAGCAATCTATTATTGATCTTGAAACTGTAATTGATTCCCGTGACTTTCTGTAGTAGCAATCACCCAATTGAAAAAGACACATTGACAATTATGCCAGACAAGAGGTATAAAGTTAGAGGTAAATTTATCATAGTGACAATGTGATCAAAGATAGGTAGACCATTAACCATGTTTTCTTTTGTTTTATTTAGAATGAGACTTTGGATAGAAACATCCCCATCAGTCATTGGAGAAAGAAATTGTTTGTGACACTGGTGACAGATCCTTTAGCTATAGACAGGCATGCCATACCGGCAGACCTGTATAGATTTATCAGGTAACACAACAGTCCAATACATCAAACATTCAGTCTGTAGTTTTGTAATATATCTGTCATTTCTATGTTAATTTTCCTCTTTGATGACTTAGATATCAAAATGTTTTAGGGCTTATTTTTTATTTGTTTTGAAATATTTCCATACCCGTTTGCATTCCTTAGCCAAACAGAGCAAAGATTATCATAAAGTTTTCTAGTTGACAAAAATATTTTGGAGAGTAATCATGAACAGATGATGACTGAGTGGGTATGATGCCATCTTGAAAGTCGTAGGATTTTTGCTCTTGATACACATTGTCTTCTCTCAGTCTTTTGGGTATGCCAAGGCTGAGATTTTTGAATTCATAATGATCTTAATCTACATGTATGACTTTTGATATGTCCTTTAGTATGACTTTTGGTATCTCCTTTGGTATGTCCTTTGGTATGACTTTAGGTATGTCCTTTGGAATGACCTTTGGTATGTCCTTTGGTATGACCTTTAGTATCTCGTTTAGTATGTCCTTATGAATGACCTTTAGTGTGTCCTTTGGCATGACCTTTGGTATGTCCTTTGGTATGACCTTTGGTATGTCCTTTGGTACAACCTTTGGTATGTCCTTTGGTATGATCTTTAGGATGTCCTTTGGAATGACCTTTGGAATGACCTTTGGTTTGTCCTTTGTCCTTTGGTATGTCCTTAGGAATGACCTTTGGTATGTCCATTGGTATGACCTTTGGTACGTCCTTTTGGTATGTCCTTTGGTATGTCCTTTAGTATGTCCTTTGATATGTCCTTTGTTATGTCTTTTGTTATGACCTTTGGTATGACTTTTGATATGTCCTTTGGTATGACCTTTAGTGCGTCCTTTGGTACGACCTTAAGTATGACTTTTGGTATCTCCTTTGGTATCAATTTTGATATGTCCTTTAGTATAACTGACCTTTGGTACGACCTTTGGTATGTCCTTTTGGTATGTCCTTTTGGTTTGTCCTTTCGTATGTCCTGAGGAATGACCTTTGGTATGTCCTTTGGAATGACGTTTGGTATGACTTTTGGTATGACCTTTGGTATGTCCTTTGGTATGTCTTTTGGTATGACTTTTGATATGTCCTTTGTTATGTCCTTTGGTATGACCTTTAGTATGACCTTTGGTATGTCCTTTAGCATGTCTTTATGAAAGACCTTTAGTGTGTCCTTTGGCATGACCTTTGGTATGTCCTTTGGTATGACCTTTGGTATGTCCTTTGGTTCAACCTTTGGTATGTCCTTTGGTATGACTTTTAATATGTCCTTTGGTATGTCCTTTGGTATGACTTTCGGTATGTCCTTTTGGTATCTCCTTGTGTATGACTGTTGGTATGTCCTTTGGAATGACCTTTGGTATGTCCTTTGGAATGACCTTCACTGTCGTTTGGTACAACCTTTAGTATGTCCTTTGGTATGACTTTTGGTATGACCTTTGGTATGACTTTTGATAGGTCCTTTAGTATGACTTTTGATATGTCCTTTAGTATGACTGACCTTTGGTACGACCCATGGTATGTCCTTTTGGTATGTCCTTTGGTATGACATTTAGTATATCCTTTGGTATGACTTTTGGTATCTCCTTTGGTATGACTTTTGATAGGTCCTTTAGTATGACTTTTGGTATGTCCTTTGGTATGACTTTTGGTATGTCCTTTGATATGACCTTTGGTATGTCCTTTGGTACGACCTTTAGTATGACTTTTGGTATCTCCTTTGGTATGACTTTTGATATGTCCTTTGGTATGACTTTTGGTATGTCCTTTAGTATGACTTTTGGTATCTCCTTTGGTATGACTTTTGATATGTCCTTTAGTATGACTGACCTTTGGTACGACCTTTGGTATGTCCTTTTGGTATGACCTTTAGTAGGACTTTTGGTATCTACTTTGGTATGACTTTTGATAGGCCCTTTAGTATGACTTTTGGTATGTCCTTTGGTATGTCCTTTCTTTGGTATGACCTTTAGTATGTCCTTTAGTATGACTTTTGGTATGTCCTTTGGTATGTCCTTTCTTTGGTATGACCTTTAGTATGTCCTTTAGTATGACTTTTGGTATCTACTTTGGTATGACTTTTGATAGGTCCTTTAGTATGACTTTTGGTATGTCCTTTGGTATGACTTTTGGTATGTCCTTTGGTATGTCCTTTGGAATGACCTTTGGTATGACCTTTGGTATGTCCTTTGGAATGACCTTTGGTATGACCTTTGATATGTCTTTTGATATGTCCTTTGGTATGACATTTAGTATAACTTTTGGTATCTACTTTGGTATGTCCTTTGGTATGTCTTTTGGTATCGTCTTTGGTATGACTGTTGGTATGTCATTTGGTATCTCCTTTGGTATGACTTTTGATATGTCCTTTAGTATGACTGACCTTTGGTACGACCCTTGGTATGTCCTTTTGGTATGTCCTTTAGTAGGATGACTTTTGGTATCTACTTTGGTATGACTTTTGATAGGTCCTTTAGTATGACTTTTGGTATGTCCTTTGGTATGTTCTTTGGAATGACCTTTGGTATGACAATTTGGTTTGACTTTTGATATGTCCTTTGGTATGTTCTTTGGAATGACCTTTGGTATGTCCTTTGGTATGTCCTTTGGTATGTCCATTGTTATTTTCTTTCGTATGACTGTTGGTATGTCCTTTGGTATGTCCTTTGGTATGACCTTTGGTATGACCTTTGGTATGTCGTTTGGTACAACCTTTAGTATGTCATTTGGTATGCCTTTGGTATCTCCTTTGGTATGACTTTTGATATGTCCTTTAGTATGTCCGTAGGAATGACCTTTGGTATGTCCTTTGGTACGACCTTCAGTATGTCCTTTGGTATGACTTTTGGTATGTCCTTTTGGTATGACCTTTGGTATGTCGTTTGGAATGACCTTTGGTATGACCTTTGATATGTCTTTTGGTACAACCTTTAGTATGTCCTTTGGTATGACTTTTGGTATCTACTTTGGTATGTCCTTTGGTATGACCTTTGGTATGTCCTTTGGTATGACCTTTGGTATGTCATTTGGTATGTCCTTTGGTATGTCCTTTTGGTATCTCCTTTGGTATGACTTTTGGTATGTCCTTTGGTATGTCCTTTAGTGTGACCTTTGGTATGTCCTTTGATATGACCTTTGGTATATCCTTTGCTGTGACTTTTGGTATGTCCTTTGGTATGACTTTTGGTATGTCCTTTGGTATCTCATGAGGAATGCCTTTGGTATCTCCTTTGGTACGACCTTTGGTATGACTTTTGGTATGACCTTTGGTATGTCCTTTGGTATGTCCTTTGGTATGACCTTTGGTATGACTTTTGGTATCTCCTTTGGTATGACTTTTGATATGTCCTTTAGTATGACTGACCTTTGGTACGACCTTTGGTATGTCCTTTTGGTATGTATTTGGTATGTCCTTTGTAATGACCTTTGGTGTGACCTTTGGTATGTCCTTTTGGTATGACCTTCCTTTGGTATGACCTTTAGTATGTCGTTTAGTATGACTTTGGTATATACTTTGGTATGACATTTGATAGGCCCTTTAGTATGACTTTTGGTATGTCCTTTGGTATGACTTTTGGTATGTCCTGTGGTATGACCTTTGGTATCTCCTTTTGGTATGTCCTTTAGTATGACTTTTGGTATCTCCTTTGGTATGACTTTTGATATGTCCTTTAGTATGACTGACTTTTGGTATCTCCTTTGGTATGACTCTTGGTATGTCCTTTGGTATGACCTTTAGTACGTCCTTTGGTATGTCCTTTGTTATTTTGTTTGGTGCAACCTTCAGTATGTCCTTTGGTATGACTTTTGATATCTCCTTTAGTATGACATTTGGTATTTCCTTTGGTATGACTTTTGATATCTCCTTTAGTATGTCCTTAGGAATGACCTTTGGTATGTCCTTTTGGTATGTCCTTTGGTATGTCCTTTAGTGTGACCTTTGGTATGTCCTTTGGTATGTCCTTCCTTTTGTATGACCTTTAGTATGACTTTTGGTATCTACTTTGGTATGACTTTTGATATGTCCTTTAGTATAACTGACCTTTGGTACGGCCTTTGGTATGTCCTTTTGGTATGTCCTTTGGTATGACCTTTAGTATGTCCTTTGGTATGTCCTTTGGTATGACTTTTAGTATGTCCTTTGGTATGTCCTTTTGGTATCTCCTTTGGTATGACCTTTAGTATGTCCTTTGGTATGTCCTTTGGTATGTCCTTTGATATGACCTTTGGTATATCCTTTGGTATGTCCTTTGTATGACTTTGGTATGTCCTTTGGTATGACCTTTGGTATGTCCTTTGGTATGTCCTTTGGTATGACTTTTGGTATGTCCTTTGGTATGTCCTTTTGGTATCTCCTTTGGTATGACTTTTGGTATGTCCTTTGGTATGTCCTTTGGTATGACTTTTGGTATGTCCTTTGGTATGTCCTTTTGGTATCTCCTTTGGTATGACATTTAGTATGTCCTTTGGTATGTCCTTTGGTATGTCCTTTGGTATGCCTTTTAGTGTGACCTTTGGTATGTCCTTTGATATGACTTTTTGTATCTGAATAGCAAACTTCTTAACTAAAAACAGAGTTATGTAGATTGATATGACCTTTGGTATGTCCTTTGGTATGACTTTTGGTATGTCCTTTGGTATGTCCTTTGGTATGACCTTTAGTATGTCCTTTAGTATGACTTTTGATATGTCCTTTAGTATGACCGTCCTTTGATATGACCTTTGGTATGTCCTTTGGTATGACTTTTGGTATGTCCTTTGGTATGTCCTTTGGTATGACTTTTGGTATGTCCTTTGGTATGTTCTTTGGTATGACCTTTGGTATGTCCTTTGGTACGACCTTTAGTATGTCCTTTGGTATGACTTTTGGTATCTCCTTTGGTATGACTTTTGATATGTCCTTTAGTATGACTGACCTTTGGTATGACCTTTGGTATGTCCTTTTGGTATGTCCTTTGGTATGTCCTTTGGAATGACCTTTGGTGTGACCTTTGGTATGTCCTTTGGTATGAACTTCCTTTGGTATGACCTTTAGTATGTCGTTTAGTATGACTTTGGTATATACTTTGGTATGACATTTGATAGGCCCTTTAGTATGACTTTTGGTATGTCCTTTGGTATGACTTTTGGTATGTCCTGTGGTATGACCTTTGGTATCTCCTTTGGTACGACCTTTAGTATGACTTTTGGTATCTACTTTGGTATGACTTTTGATATGTCCTTTAGTATGACTGACTTTTGGTATCTCCTTTGGTATGACTCTTGGTATGTCCTTTGGTATGACCTTTAGTACGTCCTTTGGTATGTCCTTTGTTATTTTCTTTGGTCGACCTTTAATATGTCGTTTGGTATGACTTTTGATATCTCCTTTAGTATGACTTTTTGTATCTGCTTTGGTATGACTTTTGGTATGCGCTTTGGTATGACCTTTGGAATGACCTTTGGTATGACCTTTGGTATAACTTTTGATATGTCCTTTAGTATGTCCTTAGGAATGACCTTTGGTATGTCCTTTTGGTATGTCCTTTGGTATGTCCTTTAGTGTGACCTTTGGTATGTCCTTTGATATGACCTTTGGTATGACCTTCGGTATGTTGTTTGGTACAACCTTCAGTATGTCCTTTGGTATGACTTTTGATAGGTCCTTTAATATGACCTTTGGTATGTCCTTTGATGTGACTTTTGGTATGTCCTTAGGAATGACCTTTGGTATGTCTTTTGGTATGACCTTTGGTATGTCCTTTGGTATGACCTTTGGTATGTCCTTTGGTATGTCCTTTGGTATGACTTTTGTTAGATCCTTTACTATGACCTTTGGTATGTCCTTTGGTATGACCTTTGGTATGTCCTTTGGTTCAACCTTTGGTATGTCCTTTGGTATGACTTTTAATATGTCCTTTAGTATGACTGACCTTTGGTATGAACTTTAGTATGTCCTGAGGTATGACTTTTGGTATGTCCTTTGGTATGTTCTTTGGAATGACCTTTGGTATGACTTTTGATATGTGACCTTTGGTATGTCCTTTGATATGACCTTTGGTATGTCCTTTTGGTATCTCCTTTGCTGTGACTTTTGGTATGTCGTTTGGTCTGACTTTTGGTATGTCCTTTGGTATGGTATGTCCTTTAGTATGACTTTTGGTATGACCTTTAGTATGACTTTTGGTATGTCCTTTGGTATGTCCTTTTGAATGACCTTTGGTGTGTCCTTTGGTATGTCCTTTAATATGACCTTTGGTTTGTCCTTTGCTGTGACTTTTGGTATCTACTTTGGTATGTCCTTTTGTATGACTTTTGGTATGTCCTATAGTATGACTTTTGGTATCTCCTTTGGTATGACTTTTGGTATGTCCTTTGGTATCTCCCTTGGTACGACCTTTAGTATGTCCTTTTGGTATGTCCTTTTGGTTTGTCCTTTTGTATGTCCTTTGGTATGACCTTTGGTATGACTTTTGGTATGTCTTTTGGTACAACCTTTTGTATGTCCTTTGGTATGACTTTTGGTATGTCCTTTGGTATGTGCTTTGGTATGACCTTTGGTATGTCCTTTGGTATGAACTTCCTTTGGTATGACCTTTGGTATGTCCTTTTGGTATCTCCTTTGCTGTGACTTTTGGTATGTCCTTTGGTATGTCCTTCCTTTTGTATGACCTTTAGTATGACTTTTGGTATCTACTTTGGTATGACTTTTGATATGTCCTTTAGTATAACTGACCTTTGGTACGACCTTTGGTATGTCCTTTTGGTATGTCCTTTGGTATGTCCTTTTGGTTTGTCCTTTCGTATCTCCTGAGGAATGACCTTTGGTATGTCCTTTGGAATGACGTTTGGTATGACTTTTGGTATGACCTTTGGTATGTCCTTTGGTATGACTTTGGATATGTCCCTTGTTATGTCCTTTGGTATGACCTTTAGTATGTTCTTTAGTATGACCTTTGGTATGTCCTTTAGCATGTCCTTATGAAAGACCTTTAGTGTGTCCTTTGGCATGACCTTTGGTATGTCCTTTGGTATGACCTTTGGTATGTCCTTTGGTTCAACCTTTGGTATGTCCTTTGGTATGACTTTTAATATGTCCTTTGGTATGTCCTTTGGTATGACTTTAGGTATGTCCTTTTGGTATCTCCTTGTGTATGACTGTTGGTATGTCCTTTGGAATGACCTTTGGTTTGTCCTTTGGTATGTCCTGAGGAATGACCTTTGGTATGTCCTTTGGTATGTCCTTTGGTATGACTTTTGGTATGTCATTTGGTATGTCCTTTTGGTATGACTTTTGGTGTGTCCTTTGGTATGTCCTTTGGTATGTCCTTTGGTATGACCTTTAGTATGTCCTTTAGTATGACTTTTGATATGTCCTTTAGTATGACCGTCCTTTGATATGACCTTTGGTATGTCCTTTGGTGTGACTTTTGGTATGTCCTTTGGTATGTCCTTTGGTATGACCTTTGGTATGTCCTTTGGTATGTTCTTTGGAATGACCTTTGGTATGACTTTTGGTATCTACTTTGGTATGTCTGGTGGTATGTCCTTTGGAATGTCCTTTGATATGACCTTTGGTATGACATTTGATAGGCCCTTTGGTATGACTTTTGGTGTGTCCATTGGTATGTCCTTTGGTATGTCCTTTGGTATGACCTTTGGTATGTCCTTTGGTACGACCTTTAGTATGACTTTTGGTATCTCCTTTGGTATGACTCTTGGTATGTCCTTTGGTATGACCTTTAGTACGTCCTTTGGTATGTCCTTTGTTATTTTCTTTGGTCGACCTTTAGTATGACTTTTTGTATCTGCTTTGGTATGACTTTTGGTATGCGCTTTGGTATGACCTTTGGAATGACCTTTGGTATGACCTTTGGTATAACTTTTGATATGTCCTTTAGTATGTCCTTAGGAATGACCTTTGGTATGTCCTTTTGGTATGTCCTTTGGTATGTCCTTTGGTACGACCTTTAGTATGACTTTTGGTATTTCCTTTGGTATGACTTTTGGTATTTCCTTTGGTGTGACTTTTGATATGTCATTTGGTATGATCTTTAGTTTGTCCTTTGGTATGTCCTTTGATATGACTTTTGGTATGTCCTTTTGTATGTCCTTTGGTATGTCCTTTGGCACGACCTTTAGTATGACTTTTGGTATCTCCTTTGATATGACCTTTGGTATGTCCTTTGCTGTGACTTTTGGTATGTCCTTTGGTATGTCCTTTGGTATGACCTTCCTTTGGTATGACCTTTAGTATGTCCTTTAGTATGACTTTTGGTATGGCCTTTGGTATGACTTTTGGTATGTCCTTTGGTATCTCCTTTAGTATGACTGACCTTTGGTGCGATCTTTGGTATGTCCTTTTGGTATGTCCTTTGGTATGACTTTTGATATCTCCTTTAGTATGAATTTTTGTATCTCCTTCGGTATGACATTTGGTATTTCCTTTGGTATGACCTTTGGTATGACTTTTGATATGTCCTTTAGTATGTCCTGAGGAATGACCTTTAGTATGTCCTTTTGGTATGTCCTTTTGTTCGTCCTTTAGTATGACTTTTGGTATGTCCTTTTGTATGACTTTTTGGTATCTCCTTTGGTATGACCTTTGGTATGTCCTTTGGTACGACCTTTAGTATGACTTTTGGTATCTCCTTTGGTATGACTTTTGACCTTTAGTATGACTTTTGGTATTTCCTCTGGTATGACTTTTGGTGTGTCCTTTGGTATGTCCTTTAATATGACCTTTGGTATGACCTTTGCTATGTCCTTTGGCACAACCTTTAGTATATCCTTTAGTATGACTTTTGGTATGTCTTTTGGTATGTTCTTTGGAATGACTTTTGGTATGGCCTTTGGTATGTCCTTTGGAATGACCTTTGGTATGTCCTTTGGTACGACCTTTGATATGGTCTTTGGTATGACTTTTGGTATCTCCTTTGGTATGACTTTTGGTATGCCCTTTGGTATGTCCTTTGGAATGACCTTTGGTATGACTTTTGGTATGACTTTTGGTATGGCCTTTGGTATGTCCTTTGGAATGACCTTTGGTATGACCTTTGGTATGATCTTTGGTATGACCTTTAGTATGTCATTTGGTATGTTGTTTAGTATGACATTTGGTATGTCTTTTAGTATGACATTTGGTATGTCTTTTAGTATGGTATGACCTTGAGCAAGACACTTTACCCTCATTGCTCTTGATTGCATGCCATCCTGCTAGTTGTTCATTGAGATAGGTACCAGCTACTACCCTGAGATTCCACCTAAAATGACCCTTCCTGTTGAAAGGGTAATAAGCCCAACAAGTGAACAAAACATTATCAGGTTTTAAGTTTAAAAGTCATATGTCATAGTCATTTGTGGTTGGAATTTTTTTTTTCAAAACCAGACTATAGTGTTATATGGTATCTGGTTCTCAGTAATTTTAGATTGATATGTATTTGTTTCTGTTTCAGCCCCGCTCCAAATGAACGCTACCTTCCCATTTTATACATTGACCAAATCAGCTTTAGAGTGAGAGATTTACTGGTAAGGTGTACACTATATATATATACTGGCACAATACTCACCATTTACCAACTTCACTTTGTTAAAAAGTATGGGGTTACCTGCATGATCACATGGCTTTAACCTGGGTATACCTCCCTCAGTAAGACTCTTTGCATGCTTCTATCCAGACCAATAAGAATGATGATATAACCTGATTGCTTGTGTCACCAGTGTTGTAAAATGATTGAAGCAGCTATATATACGCATCTTCTTACTGCTTCCTGATGTGTTGTTACTCATAACAATACAAAAAAGGCAGTGCTCACAACCCAGGGAATATAAGAAACATTGGTAAGGTCACACAAAACTCTACAGTTTGGTATGATTACTTAATTTATATAACAAACTTTGATCAGGCCCCACTTGTATAAAACATCTCAACTTGAGATTTCCTCAAGTTGAGATATTCCTCAGCTGATATCTCCTCAAAAACGGCTTGTATAAAATTTTCTCAAGGAACAGGAGGAAGGCATCGCCTAGGATGTCCTGAAATTCCTTGAGGAATTTTCGTACAAGATATTTTCAAGGAGATATTAGCTGAGGAAAATCTCGACTTGAGGAAATCTCAAGTTGAGATGTTTTATACAAGTGGGGCCAGGTATGGTATGATTACTTGATTTATATAACAAAATAGAAAATAACAAGAAACGCAGGTCTGCTATCTGTTGATGATCATAATGGATTTATGGTCAGAAATCAATAACTTCACAGGTATTAAGATATGTCTAGACCTTAGATTACCATTATGTCATTTTGTACATTGTTTTGTGTGATATCTACACCACAATATCTTTTAAAGCCCCAATATACGTAACATTCACCAAAAATTTAGTGTAGAATCACACATAATTACTGAGATATTCTCTAAGATGTAGTTAAAATTAAGTTATTCAAACAATAGTTACCATGACTTTGTGCATAAAGTATTGATGTATGAGCAGTTGAAACTCGCTATTTGTAAACACACCTCCATTTTAAACACGCGCCATTGAAATTACGATTGTTGCCGAACCAGAGACAGTTGAGGTATCTACTTATAGAGGAATCACATGCAGATATGTCTACGGTAAGTTTTTGTTTACAAACATTGTTTGCGAAGTCTTGTCGTAGACTTGATGTATTCCTGTGATAAACATTCAGTTTTTAGGAAATTATTAGAAGGAATAATTAGTTTAGAAACGATATGACACACAACTATAACTTAAGAATTGAGAACTGGCCTGATGTATGATTGGAAAAAAAGGAAGCGACTGGTGGAATTCGGTACTGTGTCTGCCATGTTTACACACGCGGAATATGCGCAATGTCATTGCTACGAGCGGTAATGTATGAATTATTGTGGGTCCCACATTGTTTATTTTCCGATTTTTTCAATTTTTATTTAAATTGAAAACAGTCCGTTTTATTTTCTTTAATTAAAGGAAAGTATTTGTTTTGTTACATATATTACGGGGAAAATAAGAAAAAAGTTTGTTTTTTATAGTGATTTTTACGTATATTGGGGCTTTAATCTTTTTCATTCAATTTTTATGAATTGGAATGCTAAAAGATATATATTGGTAATAGGTTCTCAAAATGTGGTTGACTCCTATTGGAAAAGCAGGAGTCCATAGACTCCAGTATATGATAAACAAAAAAAGAAAGGTAACACTACTTTATTCTGTGATTAATTAAATAACCCCTTCATAAATCCTTACCAATCATGTACGAATAAAGTAATTGATCAATTCTGATAAAACTGCAGTCATGGTTCATTATAAAACTTTGCGTTCAGTTGATTTTATTCGACTGTAAAGGATGTTGGGGTCAATTTCAAAGGTAACACCATTAGTAACGGGTATGGCCACCGTTTGCGTAGAAAACAGCATTGCAATGTCGTCACATGGAACTCGTAAACCGGCAAGTTTGACGGCTGATTTTGAAGTTCTCTCATGCGTCGCCAAAGAATGTCTCAGACATGCTCAATCGGTGACAAATCAGGTGATTTAGATGGCCAATCTAACACTTGTACGTTATTCTGCTGCAAGAAAGTTCTGCTGACACGACTGGTGTGTGCTGGTGCGTTATCCTGTTGAAAAATGGCGCCAACGCTATGGCGTCTTAAGAATGGCAGAACCACTGGTCTTAAAATTTCGTCCCGATATCGTATGCCGGTTAAATTGCCATTTAACACAACAAGCTTGGTGCGAGTCAACCCACAAATACCACCCAAAACCATTACCCTTCCGTCGCCAAAGCTGCGACGCAAAACGCTCCCCTCGTCGCCTCCACACTCTGCGCCTTCCGTCACAGTGTTGCAGACAAAACCTGGACTCATCTGAAAACAGAACATTGTTCCATTGTCGTAAGGCCCAACGACGGTGAACATGTATTCGCCAAGGAAACATGTTAACCTTTCTATTTTTGTTGAGTATATACTAAACAAAAAAGAAAGGTTAACGTTTCCTTGGCGAATACCTGTAAATGAGTGAAAACAATATGACGTTTGTGCAATATTAGAAAATGGTAATGTTTTACATTACAAAATCCAAGGGGGTTACCAAAATCATTCAAGCGTGAAAGTCTGTATTAGCAAAAGAGCTGCACGAGGTTTTCTGCGACTAATTTGTATCTTCGCTTGAATTTCATAAACATTCAAACTGACAACTGTTCCTTAGATCCTTAGGACTTAGAAATCACCAAATCTTGCTATCAATCAACTTTATCATTATGCCCCGGCTGTCACAAGTACAGAGAGAAAGGGCTGTAGGCATGATCCAGACTGGGGAGTCTTGCCGTCGAGTTGCACGGCATTTTGGTTGCAGTGTTAAGACAATTTGCCAGTTGGTAAGTCGTTTAAACCAAACTGGGTCAACATCCGAAACAACCACCAGGGATGACCGTCGTATGCGATTGATACACTTGCGCAATCGATTCGTAACCGCAGTAGAGACTACAAGGACATTGTTTTGGCGTTGTGTGTCTCCCCAAACAGTCCGCAACAGGTTGAGGGCCTACCAATCGAAAGCGCGGCGTCCCTACACTGGACCTAATTTGTTGCGACATCACCGTAATAATCGGCGTAACTGGACCCGTGTTCACTGTCGTTGGGCCTTACGAGAATGGAACATTGTTCTGTTTTCAGATGAGTCCAGGTTTTGTCTGCAACACGGTGATGGAAGGCGCAGAGTGTGGAGGCGACGAGGGGAGCGTTTTGCGAACTGCTGCGTTGCAGAACGGGACTGCTTAGGCGGCTGAAGTGTAATGGTTTGGGGTGGTATTTGTGGGGGGACTCGTACCATGCTTGTTGTGTTAAATGGCAATTTAACCGGCATTCGATATCAGGATGGAATTTCAAGACTAGTGGTTCTGCCATTCTTCAAACGCCATGGCGTTGGCGCCATTTTTCAACAGGATAACGTACCAGTGCACACCAGTTGCGTCAGCAGAACTTTCTTGCAGCAGAATAACGTACAGGTGTTAGATTGGCCATCTAAATCACCTGATTTGTCACCGATTGAGCATGTCTGAGAGGTTCTTTGGCGACGCGTGAGAGAACGTCAAAATCAGCCGTCAAACTTGCAGGAGCTGGCCCAAGCCTTGGTCGCTGAATGGAACAACATCTCTCCTCGAATTATCCGCCCGTTTACGAGTTCCATGCGACGACGCTGCAATGCTGTTTACTTCGCAAACGGTGGCCATACCCGTTACTAATGGTGTTACCTTTGAAATTGACCCCAACGTCCTTTACAGTCCAATAAAATCAACTGAACGCAAAGTTATATAATAACCATGACTGCAGTTTTATCAGAATTGATCAATTACTTTATTCGTACATGATTGGTAAGGATTTATGAAGGGGTTAATTGATTAATCACAGAATAAAGTAGTATTACCTTTCTTTTTTTGTTTAGTATATTAGTCCTGAAATGAATCATGTCACATTTTCCTGATTGTGGACTTCTGTTTGTCAGTGAGGTTATGTATCATTTACACATTGACATTGTTGGTAACAACTTTCCATATCAGAGAATATATTGAATGAAAGAGATTTATTTAAAAAAAAACTTTAAAAGATGAAAAAAAATTTAATTAGAGATGCATATATGTTGTGATTTGGAAAATATTTGATGTTATTGTGTACAACGCTGTTATTTTCAGCCTATCAACAAGAGCTCGAGTACAATGCCCCTAAGTATCACATATTCTCCCATCACTATAGGAAAACTACGCTTCTGGAACAATATCATGGAATCCATGAAGATGCTGCAAGGATTCGGTATTGTATTTCATAATCAAAATTCATTATTAGACAACTGTTCAGAATGCCTAAAATGTATGTATGGCCTGAGCATTCTTTTACACGAGATCTTGGGTCAGATATACAGCAAAGTTTTATTTGGTTCATGACTTTTACACACTTTAAGCTGATGATTCACATTTTGACATTGACCCTGTATCAGGCCTACAAAGTCCTATTTCATCACTCAGTAAAAGATTTACAGAGATGTTAAAATGTTTGTTGAATTCATAATGTTAGCAGACTCTGGCATCAATTGACTGGGTCACTCAACTGTGACATTGACCAGAACTTTTAATATCATATTAGAAATATCAATAAAACAGACTGCTTTCTTGTAACCCGGTAGAATGGGTTCCATCCCATCCCCTAACTTTGAACCTGAGTTTTTGTAGAATTGATACTAACAGCACTTTAGGTCCCATTACCAAACCTTAACATATAATCTAATATATAAAGCCTTTCTCATTATATGATATTATTTATCATTATTTTTTTTTTCGATTTATTTAAATTTGTGACGGAATATGATATAATTCAACAAATAAATGACAGGAGATATCAGTCCTGTAACACTTCAGATATATTTGTCATTATGGCTGTATTTTTTTTTTTTTTTACACAAATATTTAATTATTCCAGCTATAATTGAGACTGCCAGAGTTGGGGCCCTTGGATCAGTCCATTACAAATAATGCCCTCTCCACAGAAGGGTTCTCACGCACCACACACCATTCATACGTACAAAATATAAATATTTACATAGTCTATTTCACCATGGTTTTTTTTTCAAATATCTCCAGTCTTTTATCACAACTTCTTCACACCACTTTCAAACAGTTCATTGTATAGTTTTATTTTATACAAGTTGATCAAATTTTCACATACTTTTCACACATAACACACACTGAATATCTTGTAATAACAAACAAGGGCCTATGGACTGATGGAGGCTTTAAGGGGAAAGGCTGGGTTTTCTATATCTTTTGATTAAAGGGGACTTTTAAGGGACATAACTCCATTATTATTGCCTAAATGGTGACACCTCAAAAACAAAAAAACTTAAGAACTGATACCAGTAGATGAAAATGAAAATGAATTATCTCGAAGAAGACCTGGAAAAATTCCCCAATTCTTGCTCTAAATCCCTCAGTGTTGCTCTTTGAGGCAATAAATTTTCCAACTTTCATTACGTTTTTGAAAATAGGTTTACACACCAATAATTTGGTATCAAATGATTAACTTGACTATAGTATATGTGATGTTTTGTGAGGAGGAGAAAGTGGTTTTAAAGCACTGAACTGTTTATTGCCAAACAAGATGTCAATTTCTCAAAAATAATATTGTTCAATTGGATCATAGTGTGAATACCAGTGATAAAGCTCCTCCAAAATTTGTACTGAATTTAGAAAAGATGTGTTACACTGTTTCAGGTTTCAATCTGCATTGTGTACAACGAATCATTGGTTGGTAGAATCCTGTGATATATCTTATACTGAAATGTTTTAATTTTGTCTCCTGTGTATAATGAATATATTCTTGTATAAACTACTCCAATCCATGGGAAAAGTTTGCAAGTTTAATACCGATTGCCATTTATCATAATAATAATAATAATAATATCTTTTATTTATCCAGGGTTACATATTTAGACAAGTCTAGTTTACAATATGGCCCTGCCGTAAACTATATACACATATCACAGAAAGATGATACATTGGATGTTACCGGTACATAAAATACATAAATTATGAATATTAATTAATTATGAGATACAATGTAGAACAAACATTATTACAATACATAGTTGGCTAAGATATATTATAATGTCATCGAAATATTGTAACTGTAAGATACATCAAACAGGCGTAAAATATATTCAGATATCACAGATATCAATGATTGTTTCAAAGCTAAAATCTAAAATTTTGAGAAGAGCTCCTGTAGATATTTACAATTGAAAACAGCCACACTACAAGAATTTCTAATATTTTCACTGATACCATTTAGTAAAACTGAGCAAGTATATACAAATGAGCGTTTAAAATACTTTGTTCTAGCTAAAGGAATATAAAATTTGTTTGAAACTGAAGATCTTGTGTTTCTAGAAGTGACATCCCTGACATAGGTAAAAAGACTACACAAGACTCCTCGGGTATCTCCATGTAAAATTTTGAAGGCTAGAGTTGCTTTCCTAAAAGTGTGATATTCTTCAATAGGTAGCCATTTTAACTGTTTAAAAAGAAATTTAGAAGGAGTGAGAACATCTTTCACATTCAATAAAATTCTCGCTGCCCTTTTCTGTAGTGTAGAAATCTTCTGGATATAAGATTTGTTACTAACTTCACAACAAACTACCAAACAACAGATGAAGTAAGGGAAAACTATACTTTGATAAACTTTGGTAAGCACATCGTTTGACATAAATGGCCTTAGCCATCTAAGTACACCTATCTTCCTTGAAATTTTCTTGGAAATGTAATTAATGTTCTTTCCAAGATAGACATTTATCCACATAAACACCAGGAAGTTTTGCGGATTGTACAGTTTCAATAGAAAAGTTGTCTACAGAAATTTTCAGCTCACGACATTTGGCTAATTTCTGAGCTGATCCAATCAACATACATTGAGTTTTGCTAAGATTAAGACTAAGTTTAGTATCTCCCATCCACTGGATTGTACATTGAAGATCCTCTGTCATTTTCATATCTAATGAATCAATTGATTTATCCCTTACACTCTGTGAGGTGTCATCAGCATACATAGTTACTGAGGAATGTTTCAAACATTTGGGATAATCATTTATATTTAAAATAAACAATAGAGGCCCAAGTATCGAGCCTTGAGGCACACTACCGGTAATACTAATGGGTGAAAAATCAGACATCACACCACTGTAACATACAGCTTTCGAACTATTTGATAGATATGATAAAAAGAACTTTAGTGAAAGAAGAGACACATCATATGCTTTGAGTTTGTGTAAAAGAACGGAGTGATTAACTGTGTTAAATTCCTTACGCAGGTCGATAAAAACAGCACCTGTCAAAAATCCTTCATCTATATTTTGTAACCATTTGTCTACTACGCTCACCAGAGCTGTATCTGTGGAATGATGAGGACAAAAACCAAACTGACAGTCACTTAATAATTGATTCTTGGAGAGATAATCATAAAAAGTATTGTGTACATGTTTCTCCAATATCTGACTGAGAACACCTAATACAGACACAGGTCTGTAATTATTGACTAGGGTAGGGTCACCAGCTTTAAAAATAGGTGTGACCTTGGCCTTCTTCCATTCAGAAGGGAAAACACCTTTAGATACAGACATATTATACAGAAATGTTAAAGGTGATACAATAGAATCACCTGCTAATTTCAATAACTTAACAGAAATACCATCAATTCCTGTTGCTTTACCATCAGCCATTTGCTTCATTTCGGTAAGAACAAAATCTGGTGTTATACTTGGAATCACATAAGGATTATCAAAAACAGATATAGTCTTTAATCCATGTTGTTTCCATTGTGTGAAATGTCTAAAAGATTTAAATGTTGACAATTTAAAATACTTTCCCCAAGATACTCATCAGGAGTTTTTGGCTCTGTCTGTAATTCTGCTAGAGCCTTAATTACATCTTTCCAAAATCAGTTTTTTATATGTCTTGCTACTTCTACTAACTTTGCACTATCAAGATCAAACAAAATATCAGGGATAACTTGAAGAATATTTTGCATTATTGGTTTCCAAGAAGTACTACACTCGTTATGAATTTTCTTTATCCATTTCATTTTTAAACATTTATTAAATGAGTTTATATGCATTACACTTAGACCACCTTCTTTTTTTACCTATAAGTATGTCTCTTTCAATCTTCTCTATCTTAAAATTCCAGATTAAGTTGAAAATAAGTTTATTTAATTTGTCTAGAAACTACTAAAGTTTTTGTCACTGTGATTCTACCAACCAATGAGATATCTCTGTTGTTCCAAAACCTAAGTAATTTTTCTGTTTGAGGTATTTGTTGCGAAAATTTATTTCAACCATCTCCTCCAGATTTAAAGATAATTTTATACCAAGTAATTTAAATACAAATGAGGACATATACGTTCCTCTGAATTTTTTAAATTTCAAATCCAATATAACCTGATTTCTGTAACTTTATTTTTAGCCCTGAAATGTTAGCTAATTGATTGTTTAAACAAATTAACAAATGATCTGAGTGATTTTTCAGAACCATCCATTAGTAAATAAGCATTATCAGGATACTGATTCAAACATAGATCACTGTTATTAATAATAATACCTTTTACATCTTTGTTAGCTGTAATAGCTATAGATAAAAGTTCTACCCCCTATTATAAAAAATATATGGTTGGAGTGGATCACTTTGACGACAACCACGCCCTGAATTTAAGAAATTAGAGAGATGGCCATTGTTTATTCTGCAACGTTTTGAATGTTGTATAAAATTTCAAACCAATGGCAGAGAGAGGGACCAAAATCGAAGGAGTGTAGAGCTTTATTGATGAAATTCCATTCGATAGAATCAAAAGCTTTTTCAAAGTCCAACAAATGTAAAAGTCCTGATTTATCATTTTCTTCTAATAAATGCAATGTATCATATAACAGTCTTGTGTTGTTACCAATAAACCTACCTTTCAAAAAGCCTGTTTGAGAATCACTTATGATTTTTGGTAAAACAACTTTCAGTCTTTTAGCTATTGCAGCTGAAGCAATTTTATAGTCAATATTCAATAAAGAAATAGGTCTCCAGTATTTCAAATATCTATGACCTTTTTCTCCTTTTGGAATACATGTTATGATGCCCTGAGTCTGAAACTCTGAAAGTTGCCCCACCCTGTATGCATGATTTATAGATTTCAGTAAAACACCTAAATCTGCCCAAAAGATTTTATAAAAATCAACGGTAAATCCATCTGAACCAGGACTTTTCCCATTTTTCATAATTTTTAAAGCTGATTCATCTAATTTAACCTGATGCTCACAAAAGAAGGATTCTTCTAGATCCTCAAAATCTAATTGTGATGAAGAATACAGTTGTTGGGAAGAACTGACCTCCTCTTGTATGATATCATTCTATTCTTTGAAAATATCCTCATTGTCATTAATTAGTTCACTTACAGTTTTTTCAACAAAATTTCATTTTTCTAAATTACAAAAATATTTTGTTGCTTTTTCTCAATTTTCATACCAGTTAGCTTTTGATCTTAACATTAACCCCTTGTTTTTCCTTTTAGATTCTAACTGTTGTTTTGTTTCTTCAAACTCCTGATTAGCTAAATTATCTGTAGGATTCTTATTGATGCTTGTTGCTATGTTGCCTATTTCTGTCTCTAGGTCTTTCTCAGCTTTTCTACTTTGTTTTGCTTTCATAATGGAAAAGGATATTGTTTCTGATCTAATTTTCATCTCCCAATGTTTATTGTTTTTGTCACCTTCTGTAAAGTATTTGTTAATAGTTACTCTTTATTTTTTTTAACATAAACTCTGTCTTTTAACAATGATGCTTTATGCATCCAATATCCTTTTCCCCTTATAGTGTTACTAAAACTTACTTCTAATATTATGCAAGAGTGGTCAGTCTTATATCCAGGGATGACACTAGTATCTTTAATTTTGAAAATATGTCTGTAGATATTAGAAAATAATCTAATCGGCTTTGACGAACAGGATTTTTTGGTTTCCATGTGTACTGCCTGGAATCAGGAAAAAGCCGTTCGCCAGGGATGCATCAAATCATAGAAATTAATTATTTTTTTTATTTCCTGTTTGGCTTCAGGGTTATTATTGTGAATAATATTTTATGTATTTATGTCCTTATTCTGTATAACATTACAGTCGCCACAGAGTATAATAGAAGTATTATTGAATACTCTAATAGTATTTAGGAAATTTGAGAAAAAAACAGGCAAATCTTTATTAGTCCCATAAACACATGCTAAAGTCAATCTTTTTTGGTTAACTGTTATATCTAACATAATAAATCTACCTGAATTATGAATCCTACTGCCATGTATAGTATATCCAAATGTATTTCTCATCAAAATAGCAACTCCAGCTGATCTAGAGTTATGATTGCTGAAGACACAATTATACCCCACTCCTTTTTCCATTTATTTGCTAGTTTGTCCTCACAATGAATTTTCTCAATACAAATAATATCTGCTTTCTTCTGCTGAAACAAGTGGAACACATCTCTTCTTTTTATACTATCAGAGTTATGTCCCTTAGACAAACTTTTTATACTAGCTATCTGGTAAATAGGTCACCAACCGTCCCCCCAAATGTTCCCCAAACAGTTCAACAGGCCCTCCAGTGTTATTGTGTAATTCTTCTGGTTTTATATATGTGTGCATACAAACAAACACAAGTAAAAACAACTTCCATATTACCCATGATTGCATAAAGTCTCAATGTACTCACAAATAGTTTCTGCAATTATACTTCATGCTGGTATGAAATAAAAACATCAAATTCAAATCATAGACGTTATCATAATGTTTTACATGAATATGTTTGAAATAGTGCTTACAGTTTAATGATTAACATATAGATATATATTTAAAAAAAAAATTTACATTGTAGAAAGGAAACTAAACCGACTTACTGTTTTATTTCCTGTATCAGACAAAATATATTATACATACATGTATATACTGACCCTATCAATATACCTAGCTAGTATGCTAATTTTATATTTCATAGTTAATTGTCAATTACATATTTATGTAGGATTTTGAAAGATTTGAAAGGTATTGACATAGAAAAACACATTGCCTTTTATCAGCGAATAGAGATGATAAATTTTACATGTTCAGGTTTTTCTGAAAAGGATACAGATGAAGTGAAGGGAATCTTTGCTGATACAAATGTTACATTCCTGATGCTTACATTTGCTGTGGCTGCCTTTCATGTAAGTACAATTTTTTGGATCATGATAAGTGCATTTCACATCTCATAAAAATGTTAGTTATAATGAAGAAGAACTTGTTCTGGGTGTGTTTGATACTTGTTAGTATGCCTTGTGGGTTCCCTTAAAGTTTACCTTGTTCTCATTTGGGAATGTGCCATTAATTACTTTAATTTACCATGTGGCATGTGGCATCAATGAAGCAGAAGATGCTTACTTTTCCAGAACACTTGGTCTTATTTTCTTTGCGTTTTTATAGGAGTCTTCATGTAAATCTTTCTTTTGTTCATATTTTACCATATTTAGGATAAATTTATGTTGGAATTAAGACTCTGTAAGTATATTTCTATTTTCTCTATCGGTTCTGATCGATGCAGTCAAAAATAAATCATTAAACTTGTAGTTTAAACAAAATTGCAACTTAATCATGTTTGCAGTATTAGAGTGGGGAACCTTCTTTTTGTAACACTGACACTGAAATTTATCAAGTATTACTTTACACTTGTGCTATAACCCCAAAATCTAATTATAAATTATATTCTGCATCTTATTTCTTGGTCTTAAGTTTACAAAAAATAAATTACTATATGGAATGACAAATCAAATAATATTTTAAAAATCTCTACTTAACTGTTTTTTATTTTCCTTTCAGTTACTCTTTGACTTCCTTGCATTTAAGAATGATATAAGTTATTGGAAAGGTCGAAGGTCAATGGTTGGCTTATCTTCAAGAGCAGGCAAGACAGTATTACATGTATTAACATATTATAATGTGTATTTTCTCTCAAGTGTGAAGTGGGAAAAAAACTATGAGTATTTACCTGTAGAATGTATTCCCTGTTTCATTTTTCTGGCAATATGAATATATGTTTATTCTCATTTTCAATTTTCTGGTGGTGTCTGAGAGAATTTTACGCGAGATAAATCAGTTTTGTGGAGTAACTGATAAATTGTGATCTTTATTCCAGTTTTGTGGAGATGTGTCTCAACTATAATCATATTTTTCTACCTGATGGATGAGGAGACTAGTTTACTCGTACTGATCCCAGCTGGGATAGGAGCCATCATTGAGGTTAGTCAATAAGTTATCATGGAAGTAATACTGAAAACGAATTTTATAAACAATTTATTTTCACAAGCGATAGGAACAAATTTGTGAAAGGCCCTGAGTTAAGACAAGGATGAAGACAGGATTGATCAATAATTATTATCATATTGTAAAATAGTCTGTTTCACAAAAGTTAACACAAACTTGCGATTCAGAAATCATCAGAAATCATCAGGTTAGTAGGAGCTCGAGGGAATAACAAGGGAGGGAGGTCTTCTATTCACAACATTGGTAATAAAGATACAAAATGGTTAATAAGTTGTTTCCAGTTAATAAATGGACATAGTTATTGCTATAAATTATAAATAAATGGAAAATGTTGAATAGCTTTTTATTGAAGAACTTAATAGTTCACCTGAAGATTGAAGGCGTAGTGACCAATTCAAATTTAGATCACAGATCAAGTACTAAAGAATGCATCTGTTTCTTAAATGTTTATATAATGTATAACATTTAACCTCCTGATAATTAGTTATTGATAGAAAATGATACCAAATGTTTTCTTATGTTTTTATACGCCCTTCGAAAGACGAATGTATTATGATATGGCGCTGTCCGTCTGGCGTAAACTTTTATTTGTCCGGAGATCTCCTACATTTTTCAGCAGATCTTTATGAAACTTGGTAGGCTTAATCACCATGATATGAAATTGTGTTTTCGTGAACAGGGTTTTGATTAGACGATTTGAATAAGAGTTATGTCCCTTTGTTTATTTCACTATAGAAATCTTGTCTGGAGATCTCCTCCAACATTTTTCAGCCGATCTTTATGAACCTTTGTAGGCTTAATCACCATGATATGAAATTGTGTTTTCCTGAACGGGGCCTTGATTAGACGATTTGAATAAGAGTTATGGCCCATTGCTTATTTTACTATAGAAATCTTGTCTGGAGATCTCCTCCAACATTTTTCAGTTGATTTTTTTGAAACTTGGTAGCCGTCATCACCATGATATGAAATTGTGTTTTCCTTAACGAGTTATGCCCCTTTGTTTATTTCACTATAGAAACCTTGTCCGGAGATCTCCTCCAACATTTTTCAGCCGATCTTTATGAAACTTTGTAGGCTTAATCACCATGATATGAAATTGTGTTTTCCTGAACGGGGTTTTGATTAGATGATTTGAATAAGAGTTATGGCCCCTTGTTTATTTCACTATAGAAATCTTGTCCAGAGATCTCCACCAACATTTTTCACTTGATCTTTATGAAAGTTTGTATGCTTAATCACCATGATATATTTCCATTCTACTATCATTTCCCCCTGTAACTCTATGTTAACCAGATGGGAGTATATTAGGTTATACATGCCCATCTGACCAAGAGTATGAATACACATTCTTAGTCAAGGTGAGGTGTCACCAAAAGTAAACAAACATGGCTGACTACCATTTCCGGTTTTAAAGGAGTCCTGTACATGTACACTAATTATATGTAATGCTATGTCCTCACACATGCAATACAATGAATGTTAATTCAACAATAAATCTAAAATAAGATATACATATATTTTACACATACAATATACCTTTGAAAAATAAAAACAAAAAGCTGCGGAATTTGTTGCCCCTCATTCGTCGTCTGCTTCAGAGTTAAATAAATGATAACTATGGATTCAGATTCATCATCTTTAGAATCTTGGTCTCTGAAGCAACTATGAACTTGTGGAATTTCAAACTTGAGCTACCAGAGTCAGAAGAAAACAATGAACTTCAGGATAATGAAGAAGACCTATTATTAAGTATGTCTTTTGAAGAAATAAAGTCTCTAGCATTAATGTCCACGGCATCACCTCGTGGTTTGACACATTACTACTGTTTACGACAACATTAGTTCGCATACCTATTCGTCTGGTTTTTTAGCCCACTATCATCAGATGGTGGGGTATTCAAATCGCCCTGCATCCGTGGTCCGTGGTCCCTCTGTCCGTCCATCCGTAAACAATTCTTGTTACCGCTATTTCTGGAAAAGTACTGGATGGATCTTTCTCAAATTTCATATGCAGGTTTACCTTGGTCCCTAGTTGTGCATTGTACCTTTTTTGGATTGATTCGAATTCAAGATGGCCGACAGATGGCCATCTTGGATTTTGGAAGTAAAAGGTTGTTACCGCTATTTCTGAGAAAGTGCCAGATGGATCTTTCTCAAATTTCATATGCAGTTTCCCCTTGGTCTCTAGTTGTGCATTGTACCTTTTTTGGATTGCTTCGAATTCAAGATGGCCGACAGGTGGCCGTCTTGGATTTTGGATGTAAAAGTTTGTTACCGCTATTTCTTGGAAAGTACTGGATGGATCTTTCTCAAATTTCATATGCAGTTTCCCCTTCGTCGCTAGTTGCGCATTGTACATTTTTTAGACTGATTTGAATTCGAGATGGCCGACAGGTGGCCATCTTGGAGTTTGAAAGTAAAAGTTTGTTATCGCTATTTCTTGGAAAATACTTGATGGATCTTTCTCTAATTTCATATGCAGGTTCCCCTTGGTCCCTAATTGACTTATTTTGGACTGATTCGAAATCAAGATGGCTGGATTTTGAGAGTAAAATCTTGTTACCGCTATTTCTGAGGAAGTACTGGACGGATCCTTCTGATATTTCATAGGTATTGGTTTTCCTTGGTCCCTAGTTGTGCATTGTACCTTTTTTGGACTGATTTGTTATCGCTGTGACAGGATCCTTCTCAAATTTCATATTTAGCTTCCTCTTGGTACCTAGTTAAGCATTGTCCCATATTTAAAATGATCTGAAAAACAAAATGGCCTATAGCTCTCCATCTTGGATTTGAACAGCGAGTAATTGTTTTATGGCTATTTCTTACCTACATGATCAGTCATTCTCAAGTTTCAGATTTTCTAAATTAAGTAAACATTGATAAATACACTGTTTAGGGTATGCATACTAAACCATGCAATGAATTGAGTTAATGGCATATGGGTTGACACATGAGAAGTAACAGAAGAATTGATTTATTAAAAATGTTAACAATTCCTAATATTTAAGTGTTGGTGTTACAAAAACATTAATGTAATAAAATAAACAAATCTTCAAGAACTGAAAACAGATCCTCAAATGGTGGGCGCCAAGATTCCACTGGGATCTCTTGTTTGATTTTGTTGGTGGACACCAAGATCCATTCATAGTTCTCTATTACCAAATTTTAACCAACATTTTGCTAGTCACATGTACACTTACAATGAGAAGAAGGGGGCTATAGTTTTGTGTCGATTCTATCTGTCCTTCCGTTCGCCCCGCAATCTTGTTTGTACTTACTCCCATACAATTTCATACTGGAACTTAACTTGGCATGTGAATGCACCATGGTGAGACAGCGTGTCCCATGCAAACCGTAGGTCACTGTGACCTTGACTTTGACCTCTTTCAAAGAAAAGCCTTGTCCTACACCATTTGATACTGAAACCTGGGTGCACCATGGTGAGACGATGTGTCGTGTACCAAACGTAGGTCACTGTGACCTTGCCTTCGACCTTTGACTTGGTGGAGGACTGTAATTCTGGAATTATCTTCTTTGTTTTGGATATTCATGGGCGTATTTTGTTCCGCTTTGCGGTACACTTGTTCATTATATTTACAGATTTGGAAAGTAAAGAAAGCTTTGAAATTAACAATACAATGGAGAGGAATAAGACCGCGGTTTGATGTAAGCGATTCCTTCCAACATCCATTTTGATTCAGCCTGAGGGAGCTTTTATTTTATACACTGGATTTGCTGTTCATGTATATTGACTTCATAAAAGATACATTGTTACATTATATACATTCCAGTTGTTTTCCTTGTTTATAGACATGAAATTTTTGTTGGGTACAAATTTTATGATTTTACAAAAGTACATATTTGTGTTGACACTTGAAATCATGAATAAATCCTTGACATGAAATCCTCTAGTATAATAACCAATGTCAATTTTCATGTGTTTATCATTTCCTGGGCAGATAGATTCATGGATTAAGACTAAACTCAAATTCGATGAAAATAAAATCTCATGAAAATTAATGACACAACTGTAGTTTCCTGACATTTTGAAAGTTAAAACTTTTGTGTAATTAAACTTTACAAACTATTCAGTTTAAAAGAATTACCAAAGAAAGTCCCTTACATGATGCTATTATAAATAATTATTATAAAAGATTAATGTGACCTGATTTTGCAATTCACAGATTGGAAAGACGTCGGACCAAGAGAAAGAAACAGCAGCATTTGATTCTGAGGTATGTGTAAGCCATCATTCTACTTACATGTAGGTATGATGTCTCTGTTATATTTGGAAGTGGACATGTATTTAATTTCTAGTCAATGCTCATTGTGGTTAAGCTTATCACATAGGATTTATGATAAGCTCAGCTTTATATATAACCTCACAGTGTCTGGACTTTTCAGTGGAAAATTCACCAATGAACACAATTTGGTGAAATATACAAACAGTTTTGTGATGTCATGCTGACATGGTTCTGCCCATTATGATTTTGTCATTAAATTTATGTGAAAACTCTTACCACTAATTGGTATTGATGTGTTGTTGTTATAGGCAATGAAATACCTTTCCTATGTACTACTACCCCTGTGTTTGTGTGGAGCTGTGTATTCTCTATTCTACACTCCACATAAAAGGTAAATTACTTTTCATTTATTATTACCTCTGTTAGAATAAACAACTGATAACTTAAATTTCCTCTGATGTCATATGTGCCAGAGAAAATGTGAAATTATTATAAACAAGTGAATTATAATTATTCATGAAATGTGTTATTAAATGGAATATGTTATTAAATAGAATATGTTATTAAATGGAATATGCTATTAAATGGAATGTATGTTAACAAAATGTAATAAAAAGTGATGCAAGTTTATTTTGATTTGAATATGATAATGAAACAGTGTAAGTATAATAGTATTTTATACATAATATACATTTATGAATCTGCACACTACGAAAAGAAACGACACAACAATGAATATGAATGAAAAAGGCCACCCTTACAGAGAGTGTGACTTTGTATTTATTTATGAAATTAAAAACATATCTTACAGTTACATAAACCATAAAATGAACAAAATATTTATTTTTAAGTAATTATAATAAAAAGCCAATATGGGGTTAACAAAAAAACCGCCACAATTGCTTATAATAAATAACGTTGCTATTCGAATCTATTCGACAATAAAAATATCTTGTATAGTGTTATAACATAAATTAAGCTAATGCCTTAGCTGCCTTTTACATAATATTTGTATTATTGATGCAATTTTTTCAGTTGGTATTCGTGGTGTATTCAGAGTCTTGTAAATGGTATGTACATACAACTTTCTTAATGTACACCTACATTTTCTACTTAAACCATACTGTTATCTGGTTGGGAAATTTATGAAAATGTCCTTCAGTTTTGGATGGTGAAAAATTTCAATGTAGTTCCAAAACTTAAAAGTGATGTTGTGAGTTTGTTGTAGAAAGTAAAACTGGTTAAAATTTTCTAGAAAATAACATTTTGTTTTAATGTTTTACATTTTATGAGTATATATCATATCTATTTATCATTTATCTGTTTGTTTTTACTTCTTTTAGGAGTGTATGCATTTGGATTTCTATTTATGCTACCTCAACTGTTTGTGAATTACAAGGTAAACTGATATGAATTTTCTGTTTGTGAATCACAAGGTTAAGTTATATGAATTTTCTGTCTATGAATAATTAAGTAAAGTTTATGAATTTTCTGTTAGTGAATAACTAGGTAAAGTTATATGAATTTTCTGTTTGTGAATAACTAGGTAAAGTTTTATGAATTTTCTGTTTGTGAATAACTAGGTTAAGTTATATGAATTTTCTGTTTGTGAATAACTAGGTAAAGTTATATGAATTTTCTGTTTGTGAATAACTAGGTAAAGTTATATGAATTTTCTGTTTGTGAATCGATAGGTAAAGTTATATGAATTTTCTGTTTGTGAATAACTAGGTAAAGTTTCATGAATTTCCTGTTTGTGAATAGCTAGGTTAAGTTATATGAATTTTCTGTTTGTGAATAACTAGGTAAAGTTATATGAATTTTTCTTTTTGTGAATAACTAGGTATAAAGTTATATGAATTCTCTGTTTGTGAAAAATTAGGTAAAGTTATATGAATTTTCTGTTTGTGAATAACTAGGTAAAGTTTTATAAATTTTCTGTGTGTGAATAATTAGGTAAAGTTTCATGAATTTTCAGTTTGTGAATCGATAGGTAAAGTTATATGAATTTTCTGTTTGTGAATAACTAGGTAAAGTTTCATGAATTTCCTGTTTGTGAATAACTAGGTTAAGTTATATGAATTTTCTGTTTGTGAATCGATAGGTAAAGTTATATGAATTTTCTGTTTGTGAATAACTAGGTATAAAGTTATATGAATTCTCTGTTTGTGAATAATTAGGTAAAGTTATATGAATTTTCTGTTTGTGAATAACTAGGTAAAGTTATATAAATTTTCTGTTTGTGAATATAGGTAATTTTCTGTTGGTGAATCACTAGGTAAAGTTTCGTGAATTTTGTGTTTGTGAATAACTAGGTTAAGTTATATGATATTTTTTATTGTGAATTGGTTGGTGTCATTATCTGAAATTTTTCTGCAGCCCTCACCACCAGGTCACATCTGTCTTTAATAGAAAGTTGTTATCTATACTTATTGAAGTTAATATGTGGAAGCAGGTGAAATACAGAGACATTTGCTACTTAGTAAACTGAGATTAGATTTTACAATTAGATAGATATTTATAGGCATTAAATTACCGAGACAATCAGCACTATATAATTTCTCATGATATTTCATAAATGTCACACAAGAAAAACTTAAAAATTATAATAATCTTTTTGTTCATCTGTTATCATTCAGATGAAGTCTGTAGCACATCTACCTTGGAGAGCCTTCACATACAAGGTATGTATATACCAGTTGCACAGTTTAGGATTTGAAACGAATATTCATTTCAATAAATACTTGGCTTGTAAATAAAAACAGCTTATTTAACCCATGTAAGGTAGTGCCTGTATTTTACTTGGATATAATTTCATTGTCTTCTTGTTTACTATACAACAACTTATTAGCCATGAATAAATTAACACAAGTATGCTACTTTATACTCTTCCCAGGATCCACCCCAATTGTAGAGTACTATCCTAGGGACAAACCATAAAATTGTCAAGATTCAATCACCTTCATCATGTATGGAAATTGCTGGACACTTTTGGACATCAAATGGGAGTTTTGTTTTTTGTTTTTGTTTTTTGTTTTTTGTTTTTATTGTCTAATAATGAAAATAAACTATACATTTTTAAAATCAATTTACATATTTTTTTTCTTTCAGGCTTTCAACACTTTTATAGATGATATATTTGCTTTCATCATCACCATGCCAACAGCCCATAGACTTGCCTGTTTCCGCGACGATGTAGTTTTTGTTGTTTATCTTTACCAAAGATGGTGAGTGCTGTCTCCATTGTATGTTATCTTGTTAAACATCTGTTATAGATTCAGTATGCAAATTGATAACATAAGAAAACTGCATAACATTTAAGGAAAGGTTTATGCCCCATGTGGGCCTTTGAGATGAGGATGTTTCCACTGGCCTTTCAGCTAGCAATCTGAAGTTCGATTCCTGAAATGGAGGTGAAAAGGTAGGGGGTCACCTGTCCAACCATATGGGTTTTCCCCGTGTAGTCCGGTTTCCTCCCCCTAGTGTGCTTACATCTACACCAACAAGAGTGATTAGTATAAGTTGCTATACTTGTTTCGTGGAACTTGAAATTGTATAATCATACATTTGATCAACTTAGCTATGTGTTTATATGAAGATTTTGTTACTGTCATACATAATCTAGTGAATATTCTGCTTTCAGGTTATATCCGGTGGATAAAAAGAGAGTGAATGAATTTGGAATATCATATGAGGATGAAGATGAAAAGAAGAAGAACTGAGTAGCCAAAATGTTTTTATGTCCATGAATGGACCAGGTCAGAGTATGTTTCTCATTTTTGTTGATATGCTTTATAGAATAATTTCTTACATACATTACGAGGCTTAATTGGGGAACATTACAGTTGAGGAAATTATTCCGATGGAAATCTTTCCTATGGGTCTAAAATTATATGAAATATGATGAATTATTCCATACTTGAATTTTTTGTCTGACATTTGTCAGCAATGATTAATGATCAGGAGATTATGTAATGATATTATGTACTGAAACAGAAGATTTTAGCTGAAACAAGTTTTACATTCCCTTTTTGAAAGTTGAAACCACAGAAATCCATGATTAAAGATCTGTAAATAATTAGCTTTAACTTATTACAATTTGGTCCCAAAAACACAATTTATATCATCAAATAAAATGTCCCTAGTAACATCTTCAGACCATTTAGAGAGTTTTACTTTGTTTTTGGAAAAATCTATATATTTTATAAATGTTATTGATTTCTTTTTACAGAAATATGTTCTATGTTATTGGTGTGCTAGTCACTGGGTTTTGTTATGACATATTCTAATTTTAAAGATAAGCGATAAGAAATGAAGCTGCTACTGTATTACTGTAGCTTTTAACAATTTTGATATTATGTTCCTTATCTCCTCAAGGCCATCAAACACACTGATAGAAATTTAATTTGAAAGTTTTAATGAAATTTTCAACTGTATGAAAAACATTTAAATCTTTTAATACAATGTAGTATCATTTGCCGGCTTGTTTGATTGAAGATCAGTAAATACATGTTATATATTCAGTGTAAATGTGAGTTACATAATTGATGGAAGTTTGACATTGATTTCATGTAGCATTAAAAATTATGCAATTAAGTCTTCAATAGAATGTACAAAACATTGATGTTATGATATCTTTGATTGCAGTTTCTCATTTAGTATTTAGATTTTTTTGTGATATCAAAACTTGTCATAGATTCAGTGTTTGAATGTTGCTACTAGATTGTATTGAGATTTTTTTGTGATATCAAGACTTGTCATAGATTCAATGTTTGAATGTTGATACTAGAATTTATTTAGATTTTGTTGTGATATCAAGACTTGTCATAGATTCAATGTTTGAATGTTGATACTAGAATTTACCTTATTAATGGGAATGTTATGGTCATACATTTAGATAGGAAAGGAAAAAAGTCGGCAAATGTTAGATAGCTTTGACACAATCATTTTATTCCTGTCATGCATGATCATATGACTAAATGTTTTGTGTTTTAGTGTACGTGTCTTTGAAGTGTCTTTGTAGTAAGATATCATAAATCAGATTTTAATTTTATCACTTTAGTCACTTATTGGGTATTATTAGGAGCTGTGGCACTCAAGTTGTAGGAAAATATATGGTGTAGGCAACTATCAATGACTTTTGGAATAACTTGGTCCCAAAGGATGCCCTTAGTTTTCAGGAGTATCGTTTTAAATTGTAATATATATACATTATACAACTTAATTTGAAAATATCAAAAATTATATTTGAATACCTGCTTGACTCAGAGTAATTTACTTATTAACTTCGCTGGATAACATCCAAGATACTTTTGCCTATAATCTATATAATACACTGTATTTTGATAGATAAAGTTATTGTTGTATGTAGACATCGAATATGTCGCCTAGTTCCTTGAAACTTATTCATGGCTTTAATGATTTGAATTGTTTATATGTTGTATCTACGGAACATGACTTACAGTCAATATGGTACATTGTTAATCAGATAATTATATTGTTGCATGTTGGTGTAGTTCATCAGACATTCTATGTATAAAGTGTGGGATAAATTGCTTTCGTAGGATTCAAATCGACACATATATCTCATATTGGTTTTATTTGATCATAATTGTACATGCTTTCTGCAAAATTCTCCATAGCAAATACTCAAAATTTGAGCCAATTTGGAAATCAGCTGGTTTCTGTGTCAGCTGGTTTCTGTCTCAGCGCTTGTATTCAGTGATGAATTTACAGTTAATTTGTAACAGTGTTATATATGTGAAATCCATGTGAAATATTTGTTTTGTACTTTAACTGATCATAATGTAATGCTTCTACAATGTTTATTGCTGAATCTTAAATATTACGCACTTCTAATTTTGTACTCTGTCCAGGATCCTTTGATTTAAATGTTTGAGGGGTGTGCAACCTAAGGAAATTGAGTATGAATCGATATTTTGATAAAAATGGACACAGTTTTTGACAAAATGACCATTATTTCTATTAACAGAATCAGATGCAGATTATTGTAAATATTTGTTTTTGTGAATATACCCATCAAGCAAGTATTTTTAACATTCATGCTGTTTTGACTGGTTAAACTGTAATGGATGTTGGTAAAATATTACTAGATGTTACTGATTTTTAGCCCACCATCTAATAGATGGTGGGTTATTCAAATCGCCCTGCGTCCGTGGTCCGTCGTCCGTCGTCCGTCCGTCCGTAAACAATTCTTGTTACCGCTATTTCTGGAAAAGTAATGGAAGGATCTTTCTCAAATTTCATATGCAGGTTCCCCTTGGTGCCTAGTTATGTATTGTACCTTTTTTGGACTGATTCGAATTCAAGATGGCCGAAAGGCAGCCATCTTGGATTTTGGAAGTAAAAGTTTGTTACTGCTATTTCTTTGAAAGTACTGGATGGATCTTTCTCAAATTTCTTATGCAGTTCCCTTGGTCCCTAGTTGTGCATTGTACCTCTTTTGGACTGATTCGAATTCAAGATGGCAGACAGGTGGCCATCTTGGATTTTGGAAGTAAAAGTTTGTTACTGCTATTTCGTGGAAAGTACTGGATGGATCTTTCTCAAATTTCATATGCAGGTTCCCTTTGGTTCCAAGTTGTGCATTATACCTTTTTGGACTGATCCGAAATCAAGATGGCTGACAGGCAGCCATCTTGGATTTTGAGAGTAAAATCTTGTTACTGCTATATCTGAGGAAGTACTGGATGGATCCTTCTGATATTTCATAGATATTGGTTTCCCTTAGTCCCTAGTTGTGCATTGTACCTTTTTTGGACTGATTTGAAATCAAGGTGGCCCACAGGCAGCCATCTTGGATGTCGACAGTAATACAGCACAAGCATATTGTCCATTATCCACCTGTAACTGACTGCTATCTAATAATACTTTGGGATATTTTTCAAATGATATTTGCTAATAGGTGCTTAATAAAAATATCTTGTGCCATCATTGAGTACATTCAATGAAGACCAGTTCATGAACATTTACAACACCTGTAACAAACAAACAAAAAAAAAAAAAAATAAACAAATCTTCAAGAACTGAAAACAGATCCTCAAATGGTGGGCGCCAAGATCCCTCTGGGATCTCTTATCATTTAATACCTTCGTTCAGACTAAATCTGACAGAGAAGGTTAAGGTCAACAGAATGTGAAACAATTACCCCTATAAAATGGCACTGTCGGCTTATAATTGAAGTGTCAGTAGAACCAAAGGAAGGTCACATCACTCTGATGGATGCATTCTAATGCTACAACTCAGGTCTAATACAGTAAAAAAATATCTCATATATTCAGTTAACATAGAATTTACTTGCAAGATGAAATTTAAAAAAGACGACTTGTTGGGCAGTGGTTATAAAACCCAAACATCTAAAGTTCAGAAGAGGTACCTGTATCATTGCCTTATAAACCTTATGGTTCCTGCTTTATCCAGGAACAGACACTCAAAGGATTTTACAGATGTTGAAGAAATATTGCTTCTCCTGATTGACTCGAATCAGAACACCTCTAACAGTCCGCTGGTATCATTCCATATCACAAGATCTTATTTCAACACAACGCTGATACGTGTTTAGTCATCATTGATTTTTTTTCTTTTCTGGACTAGATTCTTAAATCCTTTATGCTCTCTGGCATTAGGACTATGAACAGACTGTATAAAGCTATATGTGTGTAATATATATATTATATCGTCAAAACGGAATGGACTCCATGACAACCAACACATCACATGACATTTTTTATTACAGTTCATTAGTTTCCTTCCTTATTTTCTGTTTTATTCTATTGAGCTTCATTATTTTGACATGTAAACTTATTTGAAAGGATTCTTTTATCTAAACTTAAACTTTTTCTTTATAAGTTAAACCTAATTTGACGGCTTCCATTTTTCATATATACTGAAAGGATAAAGAAACGCGGGGTAATATTTATTCCGATATTTTGAAAACGCGTTCTCCAAATAAAGTGAAACTTTGTGGAATGAGTGATTAGGTCATATTACACCTTGTCATGTATCGAAAATTTAGTCACGGTAGAGTGCGCAGCTCAGGTAAGTGGAGGAAGGAAAAAACAAGAATCTCGTGCACCGTGTTTTTCTGGTCTCATGCAGCGTTGGTCAAGTCACTCTTCGTTAGTCTTTATACAGACCAACTGCTTCCCTAAAATTAATTGAGAATTTGATACGTTTTAAGAATGGCACGACTCACAGAAGTTAAGAGGGGTCAGACCATTCAGATGCTGATGCAAGGACAGCTGCAAAATCAAGTTGCTAGGCACTTCGGTGTTACTGTTTCCACCATAGAACGTCTTGTAAGACGTCTTCGGGAAACTGGGCGATTGGCCGATCGACCTAGGTCAGGACGTCCGCGCGTAACGTCACGACGTCAGGATCGCTATATCGTCGTCTCTCATGTGTGTAATCGGCGCCTTACTGCCGTTGAGAGTGCACTTAATGTTCGTGGAAATCATAGGCGTCCTATAAGTTCAAAAACTGTAAGGAATCGATTACGAGAAGTTGGTGTAAGAGCACGTCGCCCCTACGTAGGTTCACACCTTACCCCTGCTCGACGTCAGTGTCGTATGGCCTGGGTCGCTGCACTTGCTCCACGACGGTTTCCACTGAGGCAGTGGAGACAAGTTTTCTTCACGGACGAGTCCCGATATTGTCTTTATCGATCTGACGGCCGTCAACGTGTCTACCGACGTCGTGGCGAACGTTTTACGGACGCTTGCGTTGTAGAGAGGGATAGGTTTGGGGGCGGTTCAGTAATGGTGTGGGGAGGAATCTCACACGGGTTATAATCACAATTGGTTGTTATTGATGGCAATTTAACAGCAGCTAAGTATAGAGATGACATCTTCCGACCCGAGAGCAGTTGACCGAGCTCTGATTGAATAGTGGGACAACATCCCCATAAGACGGATTAACGCTCTCATGAACTCTATGACCAGAAGAATAAGGGCCGTGACCACAGCAAACGGCGGACACACAAGATATTGATGACGCAGTTCAATTTCAAATTTCAAAATCCTATGGGTCCATTCAATTTAATCCTTAGTACCTCTAAACCAATTGTCAGATACAAAATACAGACTTTGGAAATTTTTAAACTTTAATTTATCTGTAAGTATACAAAATTTCATTTTAAATGAAGCCCGATATCATACTTAATTTCTGGTTCAAAGTTCGCCCTGCGTTTCTTTATCCGTTTAGTATAGTTTTAATGACTCACGAAAGAAGACGTGACTGGTAATCATGTAACACTTTGGCACTACAATTCATATGTTGACCTTTTTAAAACATCTACTACGTATATTCGTCCAAATGCTACGTAAAGAAAACACGATTTCAGGAATGAGAAACATATGCTGATTTTATTTTCTCCCGCCACAAGAAACTCTAGCATGAATACCGGAAGCTTTACATTGGCATCCACTATAATATCTGTTTCTATAACTGACTGTGAAACCTTTATCTCCGATGTGTCGGCATTTCCCGCTTGCATCCTTACATACTGCAAAAACAGACAAAACAAATCTAAATTGCCAGAAGTAAACTTTAGCCTCTAGAAACGTTAAATCAAGGAAGCCTACGAAAGCTGCACGCATTTTGGCTTGCTAAAATTCAAATCAATCAATATCGATTGATTCCAACATTTTGCTAGTCACAAAAGTCATGGATACAACTTGTAACCGTGATCTACAAAACACAATATATTTTTCCATATTTTAAAATGCAGTAAGTTTGTGCTATGTGGTTTGCACCATGAATATTAAATACTATTGATAAATTCCATTGGCAAAACATTATTTTCTGGAAGATAAAATATCAATGTGTCTTATATTGATATTCAAGTAATACTACTCAGTTATATATGTCCATGTAATAACAAATTGCGATAATCAAACTCACAGTATTGAGCAACGCTAGGTTTATAGCCTCCCCGTTCACAGGTCACACACACAAGCATGGCACATCCATTTCTAAAGGCATGTTTCCATTCTTCTCCAGGCTTTCTGCACAAACCAGTGCTGGGATCTTTACACCCTGAAAAAAGCAACAAGTTACGTAGACCCTTACACAACAATACAATCAATCAAACGAGAAAACAACGTGAAAAAGGAGGACCATCAAAACAATTAGAGCAGTAGCTCCGCAAGAGTAACTCGGTTCCTGCCTAATTGGCGGCACGATTCGAGCAAATTTAAATACAATTTCAAGAAAAGGGGTGACAACGTATCTCCTCGCCTGACATAAAAAAACAAACAACAGCCTTGAAGTTGATTAATCGATATAATGAAAACATTCTTTTAACTTACTTACAATTACTATACAAAATTGTCTTACCTGCAGCTTTAGTCTGGATGGATCTGCTGTAACGGCCATTTGAAGAGGAAACAAGACATTTCCTTACAAGGCAGTTCCCTGCCGCCCACTCTTCGCCTGATTGCCTACATATTCCTCGGTACATGCAACCTTTGGAGTAAAGAGTCGCTAATGAGTAAAGACCAACATCAAATCACAAATCATTTTATTATAAATCAGACATTGTATTTGGGTGGGGAATGGCGGCGGCGGGCGGGAGGGGTGGGGGGGGGGCGGTCCAATATGCCCCCAGATTACCCAATTTCGAGTATACGATATGAAGTTCTGCGTATTTGATGCTCGTTGGTATACGTATTGGTTTTGTTAATGCTTATGTGTTCTCGTTTGAGAAAGTGGCATTATTCACTTTGATTGACCAAGATCTCGTCGATGAATACACCTACCCTTCCGGAACACCTGGCCTTATTCTTCTGGTATTTTCATGGTGTCTCCGAGTGAATCTTTACTTTTATTCTTTCCTAGTGTTATTGAGTTTCGATAATGATTCTGATGACATGCTAGTATTTTCTTTGTTGTTTTCCCTGCGTTAGCTTTAGTACAATCGCGAGAAAAGTTGGCGTTGCCTCTCAGACAATATTCCTGTTTTTAAAAGCTCTTGTCCACATTATTTTTTTTATCTTAAAGAAATAAGGATACAAGCATCGACACACTGAATGGTAAACTGTCTTGCAATAAAAAAACTTCTGCAGAACTTGTATTAAAACTTAACTAATTTGAAAATAATTTCTGAGCGTTAAAAACTTTGAATCCGTTAAATGACAGATATATTATGAAAATATATGAAATACCTTGACAGATATATGGCAATATATGAAATACCTTGACAGATATATGACAATATATGAAATACCTTGACAGATATATGACATTATATGCAGATTATCACGATAAACTAAGATTAACTAGCAGAATTAGCATTTTGTATGTATGAAAACTGATTACAATATCAAAATTGAACGACAAATTTACTGTTATACCTTGACGGTGGTCACTCTCCAAATAGATAAAAGGCGAACTTTTAATTTCCCTATATAAAAAAGCATTGCATTCAGATAGCTGTCTACGTTTCCTTAACCGTATCGGATTTTTAATGTCCAGCTTTGCCAGGGGAATACTTTCCTAACAAATGGCGATATCATTAGCTTTCTTCATAACAATGACTAAGTGAATCGAAAACGAGGCAACATTAAACAAAACGGAAGATGATGTTGTTTTCATCATTATATGTGCTATGTAGAAAATATGGGTATATAGCTAAATACAGCTCTATGGTTGCCATGCTTTCTAGTTAATCTTACAAGATTAATCCGATCAGGGTTTCCTTCATTAGTAATTGGGCATTTTTGGAAAGTAGTGAAATGTAGTATTCAAGTATGGCTATAGAGAAGTTTTGTACTCTGTTCTATCGGAAAATAGACATTTTTATGCAACGAAGACCATCTCTAACTATATAGGTAACAATGATCTTAAAAGTTTGGAATTGTGATTATCATGGAAGTTCAACAATATTCGGAAATAAATATGGTCTCAAAACCTTTTTTTTATTTTCAGATTTACTATTCTTGTAATGACTGAGTCATTTTCAGAATATTTTTCATATGTCAATTTCACCTGTCGTGTACAATTCACATTTTTCAAAATCTATATTTTATAGACTAAAGCGTCATTGATAACTAGAAAAGATTATAAGCATGGTATACATTTATGTAAAATGAACAATAAAAAGCACGGGAAATCTCTCATAAATACATCAATCCCTTTGCTAACTAATTAGGATGTCCTTAAATATCTGAGCTGTTGATATGGAACCATAACCAACTATCGCATTGTCTATATTGAATACATATACATAGAGTTTAGAATAGCACTGTCGGTGCTTGACAATATTTGTTTATTTTACTGACCCATTTTTGAAGGCGTGATTTGGAGACCATGCTTGCCATTCGGTAACTTGTAGGAATCACATTTTAACACCATACACCTTTTGTCGTCGTTCCATTCAGTCCCAATGGACCTGCACACTCTGTTATTATCTTTGCATTCTATAAATGTGGTAAAACATGTTACAAGGCTGTGAATCAGGTAATGCTTAGAACGATCATCTTGTATTTTTTTTAACAAATTACAAATGCTTGAGACATTGCATGTTTGAGGGAAAAACACTGACAGCAGATTGATGGATCAAGTTGATAAATATATTATCATTATCATAAATGGAAAATATGTCGTGATCATTTTTCGTTATACCTTACTTAAAATTTGTCTCAATCTTAAATGAAATTCCAATAAATAAATCAACGGTTTTTAATATTGGTTTAAAGTTATTAAACAAATAGGAAATATCATACATAACTTGCGTCAAACTTTAGTAATATACATGTGCTTATCCTACACGGGTATGATTTGAAGAAGAAACACTATTTTGCTATAATTTCTTGATTTATTGATTAAAGATAATTAGGAACTGTCAATAAACCAGGATAAGGCACCTAGAAGATATAGTAACGAAATAAAAAGCAACGAATAATGATATGAAATGAATTTTGAAATGCTCAAATGAATAGTGGAAGTGATATACTTTGTGCGACGAACTTGAGAACAGGAGTATGGGATGGATTGTTGTCATCACACGTGTACGTGCTGCAATTTTCCTCTATGGACTCTCCTATGGCTAAACAATTCCCTTTGTAGTCTCTACATGCTAAATGAAGAAAAACAATTATCAACCATAGCGCAGGTCAAAACAAGTTGGCAATAGCTGTGAGTATGTGGATACTATCATGAAGGCTCACAAATAAGCCATATAACAGTTTTGAATAACGATTATGCATGTGATATCATGGCAGTAACTTTGTAAAATAAACGCATTTTTATGAAATACAAATCCGTTAAATTTTTGGACAAATCTAATATCCTTAATTAGCAACCTAAAAAAAGGTATGCACTGTATACGAAACCCAATATTCAATAATACTTAATGTTCATTTTTTTGATTTGCTGATGTTGCAATTTTAATATTTTCATTGGTAAGAAATTATCCTTAGTTTTGAATACATCGCAAATTACAAAATTAAAAATATTTTCTCGATAAGTATAAATCGTTGTTAAAAATGTTGAGTAAGAGGTTTTATAGGTATCGGTCATTTGATTAAAAACAAAAACAAACAAAAATCAGACTTACCCCGTTTGTAAGGATTCATTGCGGCACTGTACCTATTATCGGGCGTCTTTTTTACACTGCATACATACTCGGAGCAAGAATTATTTTGAAAACTTCCTTCCGGAACACAAGTTCCACGAAACAAACAACCTATATGCAAAAAGAGTGTCCTACTCCTGTCAAATTATCTTAAAAACACACATTGAACTTTATTCAAAGTTGCGAGGTAGACTGCGAAAATTACATTCTCACAAATGGAAACGGGAGCGTCGAACCACGGTCTGGGATCACGTGGGTCAACGTTCTAATAGACTGAGCTCTTTGAATTATAATATGAAAGTAAATTTGTACTTTGAATAGTAAATGTTTCATATGTTTTTGTGACATTAATATACATAGAATTCTAAAGGAGTTTACACTTCATATGAGATTTCATAAACGTGTCCAAAAACGTATTCTATTAGCAAGTCATGAGACAAATTTGAAAATACCTTTTCTTCACATTACCAAGAACAATTACTTTTTTACAGGATTAAAGTTTTCATGTGGAGAGCACAATCAAACGGAAGGGGCCATTTTCTTCCGTCATCCTCAATTCATGACGTAACGTAAATGTCCATATTATGACATCACAATTTACAAGCGGATTACTGATAAACATAGTTAAACGGCCTGTCTTGCCAAAACGTATCGTAATGTGGATATTTTTCGTACCCATTTTTTGGATTGTTTTAGAAAACGTATAACTTGATCCTCGTTGCTCCTGCTTGCAGTAATAGGTAACACAGCGTCTCCTATCTTCGTATGTATCTCCTACGTTCAAACAGGTCCCGTCGCCCATAGCACAAGCTAACAGAAAAGAAAATCAGATTTTATTGCGATATCTCTCATTCATCCTCGTGAGTAACAGAACACGCATTTTCGTGGAATTGGGGTAAGTCATAATAGTATTGTTTCGCCTTTGATAAAAAAGGAAAAGGAACACTTTGGTGTTATTTTCTGGCGATAGCGAAGATATCGCCAACTATTTAACTTTTTAAAGTTTCACAATACTGAAGATCCCATGCTGAAAATGCCTGTAACTTAAGCATTGATCAAATCTGACGTTTTGTTATATACCGAATATCCACCAGGCATTAGCCGATGAAATCTAAAAATTAAGGATGTTGGGAAACTTTCACTTCAAACATTTTGTTCATCCCTTCAGTCTTTTTCGTATAGCGGATACATTTGTATACTTTTTCATAGATATAAGACAATAGCTAAATTCTAGACTATTTGACGAAAACCAACATTCATTATACAAGAAAGATATACATTCAATTCGTTTTAATTGTGTTTATTGGTCTTCTCCTAAACAAAAAGCAACTCTTGTATCCTAATAATTTTCTTTTTCAACAAAAACATTAACATTAAATAGTATTAATTTTGTACGTAAATAAATGAAAGAAATATAACTTAATCCATGTGAATGTTTACCTCCTGTGTCGAGACCCATGTGACAGGCATATCCATTGGTACCTGCCATACATCTCCTCAAAAAGCAGCCATCTTGGACTGTCTGGCCTATTTTGTAGCACTGGTTGTTGTAGCTACACACTGAAGCGAAAATATCAGAGTGATGATTTAAAATGTTACCCGGTTAATATTTAGATATACTATTGTATGTTGTATTTTCACGAGCTTCAATTGATGTTGAATATACTTAAAATTTAAGTTTTAGAGAAATAAAATTTTATAGTAATAATAACAAAAGAAGTCGAGGCGTATAGGTTATTAAATCATATCCAATGTTAAACTATATATGATAAGTATACAAGTATTCAAAAAATGTTCAAGTGTATCAATATGAAGAAGGTGAGAATCGATGTTTTTTTCACATTTTGGGGACATCAACGAATTTAATTGAAAATATAAGTGGTTTGGTGACTATATGAAACTTACTAGAAAGAAAAGTCTTTACGTATAATCTTATCGATGTGCCATTCTTTTCCATCATACATTGGAGTATGTTACATCCGTGCCCTTTGAAGGCCATGAAGGGGTCTTTGCACTCGCCATAATACTTACAAGCTTTAAAGGCAGAAGTAATTATACGTCAGTTTAATCCTACGTTCCATAGTATCGCCAGGAAGTGCATCATTTCTGTTGATACTGATACTACAAAAAGTAGTTCTAATCGCATTTTGTATTTTTTAACCATCATTATGTGTGTATTGTCAAACAAATGAAAAATAACATTAGTTGATAGAGATTTTAACACCATTCAAAATTGTCACACGTTCTAAAATTAGTTTTAAAATTTGAATACTGAACAGGAATATTGTTTAATTTATTGCAATGTCTAATAGATACGTATGCAAAGACATGTCAAATAAACTATAAATTACCTCCCTTTACAAACTCGTTACCACATCTAGAGGTCTGCCTTCGACACCTGTACGTGATACAGTCCTTTGTGTATGTTGTTCCTATAGGGATGCAACCTCCTGTTCCGTCACTGCAACCTGATGAGATGAAATAGCGCACGGAATTACATTACAACACTTCGATTGGCATTTCACTGAGATCGTTTTAGGGATATTGTGACAATTTTTACATTGCAAAGGCGCTAGATCTGAAGGTCGACAACGGAGAAACTAGTTTATGCTCTGAGTCTTGGTTTTCTCTTGTACTTGATCAAAATCACTGAAGTTATCGAATTATTGGTGCACCTCCTCATCTAACTATGTTTCTGCGATTTTTCCCAGTCGCTGCCTAAGTATCAGCTTTGATATTGCTGATGAGTCCAAAAAGGACGAAACATATGTATGATGAGAGATATTCCTTTTTTGAATGCTCAATTTCGCTTATTCGTAATCTATTAGTTTTATTAGAGGTTTGTTTCCTATAGGCACAGTATTCGTCCATACAAAGCATTCATTATTACCGAAAACCAAATATGGCAAAGGTACAGAATATGTATCACTTTATTTTGTTATCTGTTTTAGTTTTTTTTCTTCTTCTTCTTTTGAATCTCAATAATCAATAAGACATTATATTGTATTGCTTATTCTTGAAACCATGACCTACCAGCTTTTTGCAGATAAAAATAGGGCATATACGTTGTAGGGTGCAGTCGACATTCCGACACGTAACAACCGCGTGCCTTTTTGTAGCCTAGATCACGACATAGCTCAGCATCCTGACATCCTGTTAAATCAGTAAAAACCGATCACATTATAAACGGCATTTTAAAAATGTATATTATCTTTATTTATGTAAGTTTTGAAATCAACATTATTATTAAGTTGAAACTAAAGTTCTCAATATCCCATATTACACTTTGGGTGTCAAAATCTAATCGTGTCTAAAATTGTAAAACGCTATTTGCAAACAATTTTATCCAATATTTTATCATAGAAAAATACGATGTAAACAAACCAAATTGCACATTCAAGTGCTCTGAAACGTCACGTGTTTTCTTTCATTTGATAACATTACACATTACGTAGTATTATTGGAATGCACATGTTGTAATGTTTTTAAAACTCTAACATACATTATGTACCTGTTCTTATTAGATGTAAACAATCTAGTATACCTAGTTTAATTGATTTCACGACAAAGATCGTTTGTCCCCTTTCATCCAAATCCCTATGACATATCTTCTGATTGCATTTCTCGCCCTGGGTCTCTATCCACGTCTCATTTTCTTTCTTACAGATGTCTCCGACACTACAACCTATATCCAAGAAAGCACCAGACACAAATATATTGATTCAATAATCTTTATTTTGTCAATTTGTCTTCCTTTTGATACCTTTTTTTATCGACTTACTAACATTAAATTGCATAACAGGCAAATACGACATTGATACCTCTCTCCTCTTTTCGTAAACAACAAGGACCTGCTACCCCCATCCTTAAAAATATTTCTACGTTGTCCGATCTTTCCAATGACAGCGCACAAAAGTGTTTTGACAATGAAATAATTTGAACATTCATAATCTGACTTACATTGGAAACTGAAAATGACGAGCTTTGATCGATGTTCAAGAAATAAAAAAAGTTCACAAGTTGCTATGTTTTCAACAGAACTCTAGACATTTACTAGACTAACTATAGTCATCACTTTTTACACTACGTGTTTTCTAGAACACAATTTGTGGTTACATTTGACCATTGCTATTCCTTAAATTATGAAATCCATGAACGTACCGCCTTCAAAAACCTCCAGGTACTCTATATTTTGTATCTCTTTGCATTCGTAAGTCACACAACCAGTGGTTAACTTGCTTCCTGTTTTTATAAAGTTCCCGTCGTTATCCTTGCAGCCTGCAATACAACATTTTAAAATAGTTATCAGTTAGTAGTATCGGCCAGATATTTCACGATTGAAATATAGAACAAGTCTATATTTTGCCCTGAACGACAGGCGTAGTCGACTTTGAAACTACACAAGTGAGAAACGCATTCGAATAATGTAGAGCTTAGCTAGACAACGCCATTTGTCTCGGGACTTCGTGACTTAAACCTATCAGCTAAAGACTGAGATTTCGTAATTAACATTCATATTAGTAAAATTTGGATTCTTTCTTTGCCGCCGCGCACTGTAAATATTTTCGCAGTCGCATGTCCAAAATTATTAGGATATTTTATTGAAGTTTTAACCATTTTCTAATGGGCACTGGATTTCGTATATAAAAAAGTACAAAAAATGGTAATATTAAGTACTATTAGTTTTTAAATTAATTAATAGACTGAGTAACAACGATATCAACGAAGAGATTACAGTAAGTATTAGTGTACGTTAAATGTAGTGATGGTTTTGATCGATGTAGATGTCGATCTCAGGCTGGAAACTCTGATGTTAACTACATTATAAGTATGTATCGCTTCACATAATATTTACCGCAGTCCAATGGTGTGTAGAAGCAAAAGTACATCATGGTATTGTTGTCACAGTCTTTAATTTCAGGTGTAGAGCCCGTTTTCTTCAAATTGACGTCAACATTCTCATCATCAAATACAAAAAATTCTTTTTTGTAGGTCATCCCTGAGTAGAAATGAAAACAAGAACAAATTATATCTAATTAACGTTATTAACAATTGCAGCATAGATGGAAAGTCCATCTTACACATCATGCCAATTAAATACCAATGCTTCCCGATCGACATGTATGAGTTCATTGTTTTGGTACTGTTTGTATAATATACAAAACAAAACTCTCTGTTGATACCAGGCAATATAGAACCAAGTCCTTACAATTGAAAAGTTTGGGTAAATATTTTACAACATAACAACACAAACTGTAACAATATTTACTGATTTCATGTAAATGACATCTTTGTGATACCATTTAACCATACGGGAAGACATTTCCCCTTTTATCAAAACAATAATGGTACAAGTGCGAAATGCGAACAAACCTCGGACAGTCTGACAGTCGTCCGCTTCAGACGCCATAAACAGTGCGAAGGGTAATTCTTTTGGTAATATAATTGGAGTATCTATATCCCCATCTGTACGACAACAGAAATCAAACCCAGTGTTCGTTTTATATTTGCCATCCGGAACGGTTCCATTGACGTAGTTGAGAAGTTCAAAACCATTCAAGTCATCCATTTCGACATACCCCTCATGAAAACCTGGAACAGGACAACAATTTGACACATATGTATTCACTGATATTTTGTTAACGAAGGTAATAAATTTCTTTAAATGGGTAAAATACATTATACTATTATACTATGTTAACGTTCGAAAAGTTAAGGAATCATTCTTCTTTCATTGATTTATTTTCAGGAAATCAGACACAGAATGAATGGATAGTCCATCATTAGATCGTCTTCAAGTTCCTAACCAAAGTGGCTGTTTCCTCCAATGGAACAAATTGTATGATATTAAGGGGAAACTATGTTTTGATGTTGTATCAAATTAATGCAAACTTCAACAATATGGTTAAGAGATGATAGAAATCAATAATAGCAAACATTATATTCGTACCCTCTGGACAATTCCCGTTCAATCGCATAATACAATACCGGCCTGGGTCCCAATAAGTCTGATAACGAGGAATGAGAGTGGTGTCAGACATTCCAACATGTGAACAAAATCTGTGCTCGAAAAACTTCTTTGTATAGTTTCCATGAAGATTGAAGGGTGTGGAGACAAAATTCTGACCATCTCCCATATGAAATCTAGAGCCTGTTTTCCATTCCTCCTTTACATCAACAGGACATCCTCCAACTGTTTCTAATAAACTGTAGTTCCCGGTCGGCCAGTACATTAACTCTGACAACAGCGGGAATATAGATAAATAAGCAAACAAAACAAACAAACGTAAATAATGATGATAACAACACCACTATCAATTACTGCAAACTTTGTTTATACCAAAAAGTCAAAAGCAAAAGTATATATGTTTTCATGTTGGTATTCGATTATAGGTATTTTATTTTCGCGATTTTCATTATCCTCTAAAAAGGTTAAAAGTATTTTTTTTAAAGAAAACAATAATACCTTTTACAGTACTTAATCAAAACCTGAAGGACAGAAGTGTGCTTCTTCAGTAGCATTGCATTTCAAATGTTGTCTGTCAATATAACTTTTTCTACACAGAACGTGATATGTCTATATAATGTCATTATCTCTACCGTTAGTTTAAACCCTCACAAAATGAAAATGGTAGAGATAGATCAAAGCGATTTTAAAAGATAGACTTCATATATGGATGCATCATCTCGTGAGAAATAAGGTTTAAGGGAAATGAATTTGTATATTATTACAAAGTAATTTGTCTATTTGATTGGAAACGTTAATATTGACTTAATTAATAAAAAAAATATGAGATATGTTAACGAGATTCCAAGTTTGAGGTGTTGCTGTAGGCAACTTATTTTCTGTCGCTAACAAAACTAAGACATGATATTATGTCATAGATACGTATCTTCTGCAACATTTTATTTCATGTTGGGTGATAGCCAAATCTACTTTTTGGATACATTTTTTGAAAAGTTCTAAATAAACTCATATTTTGTCTCACACAATTTGTTGATCTTTAGAGAACAATCTAGCTGATATACACATTTGATCTTGATTACCATCAGTGAGCATGTAGAACAAGGGTTCGTCGTCTTTCTCCACACACTGAAACATCGAACAGCCATCATGCCAAAACGAACTTAACTTTTTGCACTCGCCCTGCGCGCGACATCCTGAAAGATAATATGAAATGATGGCAAACAGTGTTATCGATCAAATTGTTCAAGCTTGTTAGGCAATATTTTTATCAGCAATATCAGTATATATAACGATAGTATATAACAATAGTAATGAGGGGACAGTATATATAACGATCCTAACGAGGGGACAGTATATATAACGATAGTAACGAGGGGACAGTATATATAACGATAATAACGAGGGGACAGTATATATAACGATAGTAACGAGGGGACAGTATATATAACGATAGTAACGAGGGGACAGTATATATAACGATATATATTAACGTAACGAGGGGACAGTATATATAACGATAGTAACGAGGGGACAGTATATATAACGATAGTAACTAGGGGACAGTATATATAACGATAGTAACGAGGGGACAGTATATATAACGATAGTAACGAGGGGACAGTATATATAACGATAACAACAAGGGGACGGTATATATAACGATAATAACGAGGGGACTGTATATATAACGATAGTAACGAGGGGACAGTATATATAACGATAACAACGAGGGGACAGTATATATAACGATAATAACGAGGGGACAGTATATATAACGATAGTAACGAGGGGACAGTATATATAACGATAGTAACGAGGGGACAGTATATATAACGATAGTAACGAGGGGACAGTATATATAACGATAGTAACGAGGGGACAGTATATATAACGATAGTAACGAGGGGACAGTATATATAACGATAACAACGAGGGGACAGTATATATAACGATAGTAACGAGGGGACAGTATATATAACGATAGTAACGAGGGGACAGTATATATAACGATAGTAACGAGGGGACAGTATATATAACGATAATAACGAGGGGACTGAAAATATATAACGATCGTAACGAGGGGACAGTATATATAACGATAGTAACGTGGGGACAGTATATATAACGATAGTAACGAGGGGACAGTATATATAACGATAGTAACGAGGGGACAGTATATATAACGATAGTAACGAGGGGACAGTATATATAACGATAGTAACGAGGGGACAGTATATATAACGATAGTAACGAGGGGACAGTATATATAACGATAGTAACGAGGGGACAGTATATATAACGATAGTAACGAGGGGACAGTATATATAACGATCCTAACGAGGGGACAGTATATATAACGATAGTAACGAGGGGACAGTATATATAACGATAATAACGAGGGGACAGTATATATAACGATAGTAACGAGGGGACAGTATATATAACGATAGTAACGAGGGGACAGTATATATAACGATAACAACAAAGTGACGGTATATATAACGATAGTAACGTGGGGACAGTATATATTACGATAGTAACGAGGGGACAGTATATATAACAATAGTAACTTAGGTACAGTATAAATAACGATAGTAACGAGGGGACAGTATATATAAGGATAGTAACGAGGGGACAGTATATATAACGATAGTAACGAGGGGACAGTATATATAACGATAGTAACGAGGGGACAGTATATATAACGATAGTAATGAGGGGACAATTTATATAACGATAGTAACGAGGGGACAGTATATATAACGATAGTAACGTGGGGACAGTATATATAACGATAGTAACGTGGGGACAGTATATATAACGATAGTAACGAGGGGACAGTATATATAACGATCCTAACGAGGGGACAGTATATATAACGATATTAACGAGGGGACAGTATATATAACGATAGTAACGAGGGGACAGTATATATAACGATAGTAACGAGGGGACAGTATATATAACGATAATAACGAGGGAACAGTTTATATAACGATAGTAACGAGGGGACAGTATATATAACGATAGTAACGAGGGGACAGTATATATAACGATAGTAACGAGGGGACAGTATATCTAACGATCGTAACGAGGGGAGAGTATATATAACGATAATAACGAGGGGACTGAAAATATATAACGATAGTAACGAGGGGACAGTATATATAACGATAGTAACGAGGGGACAGTATATATAACGATAGTAACGAGGGGACAGTATATATAACGATAGTAACGAGGGGACAGTATATATAACGATAGTAACGTGGGGACAGTATAAATAACGATAGTAACGAGGGGACAGTATATATAACGATAGTAACGAAGGGACAGTATATTTAGCGATAGTAACGTGGGGACAGTATATATAACGATAGTAACGAGGGGACAGTATAACGAGGGGACAGTATATAACACGATAGTGACGAGGGGACAGTATATATAACGATAATAAAGAGGGGACAGTATATATAACGATCCTAACGAGGGGACAGTATATAAAGATAGTAACGTGGGGACAGTATATATAACGATAATAATTAGGGGAGAGTATATATAACGATAGTAACGAGGGGACAGTATATATAACGATCCTAACGAGGGGACAGTATATATAACGATCGTAACGAGGGGACAGTATATATAACGATAGTAACGAGGGGACAGTATATATAACGATAGTAACGAGGGGACAGTATATATAACGATAGTAACGAGGGGACAGTATATATAACGATAGTAACGAGGGAACAGTATATATAACAATAGTAACGTGGGGACAGTTTATATAACGATAGTAACGAGGGGACAGTATATATAACGATAGTAACGAGGGGACAGTATATATAACGATAGTAACGAGGGGACAGTATATATAACGATATTAACGTGGGGACAGTATAAATAACGATAGTAACGAGGGGACAGTATATATAACGATAGTAACAAGGGGACAGTATATATAACGATAGTAACGAGGGGACAGTATATATAACGATACTTATATATAACGATATTAACGAGGGGACAGTATAAATAACGATAGTAACGAGGGGACAGTATATATAACGATAGTAACGAGGGGACAGTATATATATAACGATATATATAACGATAGTAACGAGGGGACAGTATATATAACGATAATAACGAGGGGACAGTATATATAACGATAGTAACGAGGGGACAGTATATATAACGATAGTAACGAGGGGACAGTATATCTAACGATCGTAACGAGGGGACTTTATATATAACGATCGTAACGAGGGGACAGTATATATAACGATAGTAACGAGGGGACAGTATATATAACGATAGTAACGAGGGGACAGTATATATAACGATAGTAACGAGGGGACAGTATATATAACGATAGTAACGTGGGGACAGTATATATAACGATAGTAACGTGGGGACAGTATATATAACGATAGTAACGAGGGGACAGTATATATTACGATAGTAACGAGAGGACTGTAAATATAACGATCGTAACGAGGGGACAGTATATATAACGATCGTAACGAGGGGACAGTATATATAACGATAATAACGAGGGGACTGAAAATATATAACGATCGTAACGAGGGGACAGTATATATAACGATATTAACGTGGGGACAGTATAAATAACGATAGTAACGAGGGGACAGTATATATAACGATAGTAACGAGGGGACAGTATATATAACGATAGTAACGAGGGGACAGTATATATAACGATAGTAACGAGGGGACAGTATATATAACGATAGTAACGAGAGGACAGTATATATAACGATAGTAACGAGGGGACAGTATATATAACGATAGTAATGAGGGGACAGTATATATAACGATAGTAACGAGGGGACAGTATATATAACGATAGTAACGAGGGGACAGTATATATAACGATGACAACAACGGGGATAGTATATATAACGATCGTAACGAGCGGACAGTATATATAACGATAGTAACGAAGGGACAGTATATATAACGATAGTAACAAAGGGACAGTATATATAACGATCCTAACGAGGGGACAGTATATATAACGATAGTGACGAGGGGATAGTATATATAACGATAATAATCAGGGGACAGTATATATAACGATCCTAAGGAGGGGACAGTATATATAACGATAGTAACGAGGGAACAGTATATATAACAATAGTAACGTGGGGACAATTTATATAACGATAGTAACGAGGGGACAGTATATATAACGATAGTAACGAGGGGACAGTATATATAACGATAGTAACGAGGGGACAGTATATATAACGATAACAACGAGGGGACAGTATATATAACGATAGTAACGAGGGGACAGTATATATAACGATCCTAACGAGGGGACAGTATATATAACGATAGTAACGAGGGGACAGTATATATAACGATAGTAACGAGGGGACAGTATATAACGACAGTAACGAGGTGACAGTATATCTAACGATAGTAACGAGGGGACAGTATATATAACGATAGTAACGAGGGGACAGTATATATAACAATAGTAACGTGGGGACAGTATATATAACGATAGTAACGAGGGGACAGTATATATAACAATAGTAACGTGGGGACAGTATATATAACGATAATAACGAGGGGACTGAAAATATATAACGATCGTAACGAGGGGACAGTATATATAACGATATTAACGTGGGGACAGTATAAATAACGATAGTAACGAGGGGACAGTATATATAACGATAGTAACGAGGGAACAGTATATATAACAATAGTAACGTGGGGACAGTATATATAACGATAGTAACGTGGGGACAGTATATATAACGATAGTAACGAGGGGACAGTATATATAACGATAGTAACGAGGGGACAGTATATATAACGATAGTAACGAGGGGACTGTATATATAACGATAGTAACGAGGTGACAGTATATATAACGGTCATAACGAGGGGACAGTATATATAACGATAGTAATGATGAGAGAGTATATAAAACGATCAGAACGAGGGGACAGTTTATAAAACGATATTATCGAGGGGACTGTATATATAACGATAGTAACGAGGGGACAGTATATATAACGATAGTAACGAGGGGACAGTATAAATAACGATAGTAACGAGGGGACAGTATATATAACGATCCTAACGAGGGGACTGTGTATATAACGATAGTAACGACGGGACAGTATATATAACGATAATAACGAGGGGACAGTATATAGAACGATAGTAACGAGGGGACAGTATATATAACGATAGTAACGAGCGGACAGTATATATAACGATAGTAACGAGGGGACAGTATATATAACGATAGTAACGAGGGGACAGTATATATAACGATAGTAACGAGGGGACAGTATATATTACGATAGTAACGAGGGGACAGTATATATAACAATAGTAACGAGTTGACAGTATATGTAACGATAGAAACGAGGTGACGGTATATATAACGATAGTAACGAGGTGACGGTATATATAACGATAGTAACGAAGGGACAGTATACATAACGATCCTAACTAGGGGACCGTATATATAACGATAGTAACGAGGTAACGGTATATTTAACGATAGTAACGAGGGGACAGTATACATAACGAGGTAATGGTATATTTAACGATCCTAACGAGGGGACTGTAAATATAACGATCGTAACGAGGGGACAGTATATATAACGATCGTAACGAGGGGACAGTATATATAACGATATTAACGTGGGGACAGTATAAATAACGATAGTAACGAGGGGACAGTATATATAATGATAGTTAAAAGGGGACAGTATATATAACGATAGTAAGGAGGGGACAGTATATATAACGATAGTAATCAGACAGTATATATAACGAGAGTAACGAGGGAACAGTATAGATAACAATAGTAACGTGGGAACAGTATATATAACGATAGTAACGAGGGGACAGTATATATAACGATATTAACGTGGGGACAGTATAAATAACGATAGTAACGAGGGGACAGTATATATAATGATAACAACAAATGGACAGTATATGTAACGATAGGAGCGAGGACTATATAACGATAGTAACGAGGGGACAGTATATATAACGATAGTAACGAGGGGACAGTATATATAACGATAGTAACGAGGGGACAGTATATATAACGATAGTAACGAGGGGACAGTATATATAACGATAGTAACGAGGGGACAGTATATATAACGATAGTAACGAGGGGACAGTATATATAACGATAATAACGAGGGGACAGTATATATAACGATCCTAACGAGGGGACAGTATATATAACGATAATAACGAGGGGACTGAAAATATATAACGATCGTAACGAGGGGACAGTATATATAACGATATTAACGTGGGGACAGTATAAATAACGATAGTAACGAGGGGACAGTATATATAACGATAGTAACGAGGGGACTGTATATATAACGATAGTAACGAGGGGACAGTATATATAACGATAACAACAAAGTGACGGTATATATAACGATAGTAACAAGGGGACAGTATATATAACGATAGTAACGAGGGGACAGTATATATAACGATAGTAACGAGGGGACAGTATATATAACGATAGTAACGAGGGGACAGTATATATAACGATAGTAACGAGGGGACAGTATATATAACGATAGTAACGTGGGGACAGTATATATAACGATAGTAACGTGGGGACAGTATATATAACGATAGTAACGAGGGGACAGTATATATAACGATAGTAACGAGGGGACAGTATATATAACGATAGTAACGTGGGGACAGTATATATAACGATAGTAACGAGGGGACAGTATATATAACGATAGTAACGAGGGGACAGTATATATAACGATAGTAACGAGGGGACAGTATATATAACGATAGTAACGAGGGGACAGTATATATAACGATAGTAACGAGGGAACAGTATATATAACAATAGTAACGTGGGGACAATTTATATAACGATAGTAACGAGGGGACAGTATATATAACGATAGTAACGTGGGGACAGTATATATAACGATAGTAACGAGGGGACAGTATATATAACGATAGTAAGGAGGGGACAGTATATATAACGATAGTAACGAGGGGACAGTATATATAACGATAGTAACGAGGGGACAGTATATATAACGATAGTAACGAGGGGACTGTATATATAACGATAGTAACGAGGGGACAGTATATATAACGATAACAACAAGGGGACAGTATATATAACGATAGTAACGAGGGGACAGTATATATAACGATAGTAACGAAGGGACAGTATATATCACGACAGTAGCGAGGGGACAGTTTATATAACGATAGTAACGAGGAGACAGTATATATAATGATAGTAACGAAGGGACAGTATATATCACGACAGTAACGAGGTGACAGTATATCTAGCGATAGTAACGAGGGGACCCCATGTAGACAATCAGTAGATACAATTTATCATTTTGAATGTCGCTATTCAATATAGCGCTGCTTTATATAAAGAATGCTACGTTATCGATCATTGTTGCAAAATCATGATCCGGATTTTAAAATCGTTTATATAAAAAAAATAGAAAAAATAAAAAATAAATAAAAATATGACATACAATGTTTTTATAATCACTTTTGATGTTATCGAGTTATAGTAATCAGATGAACCATAGTTATCACTATTTTGCTAATTAGCGCAATTATGAATTAAAAAATTCAAAATTATTGCTATATTAACAACATACATGTACTATAATTAGCGCAATTCCATAAGATAGCTGTAATATTATCACTGATAATATGTACATTTCTACAGTATGTGCACAACACCCCATTTATAATTGCCAAAAAAGGGGTGGGGTTAGGGAGTCAAGATTTTCCTGTTAGTTCTATTCTTTAAGTCTGGATGAAACTCACCTCCCTCTATAAGTGTGTAGTCGTTGTAGGTTTCAAAATTTGTACATCTGTATGTCATACACTTTTCCGTCCATGTAGAGTTGGCGTCCTTGCATTGACCTTTGTAATCACAACCTGTCGCAATATTGCCGTTTTAATTTATTAATATTTATATGTTCTCATCTTTAAACCTCAATATTAATCAAAACAACAACTTTCAGTGACAATATGAGTATCTTAAAGGTTTAATGATTCTTACTGCCTCAAAGGTTAATTGTTCCACAAAATTAGACAGGTATCGCACTATATTCACGATATTTATAAGTATCATATGGATTAAATAAAAATTATCCTATCGGTTACAGAAAATGATATCATCGATTAAAACCTTACACGCCCATTTCATATATTCACATTTCATATAGTATGTTCTGTATCGTCCACGCCCGGATGTTACGTAATACGTACTTATTAAGTTTTGAATATCATATAACTGTTTCATGAGAGGAATGTATTTAAACAAAAATAGGCACCATGCCTTATCTACGTCATTTGGATTGAAAACTGTCGTTCATTACATCTATTCTGATATTTTTTTTTAAATCAATCGAGATGTTTGTATTTTGTAGTTAAACATATCGATCTAGTGTTAACAAATAGCGAGATGACAATGTGTCCAACGGCTGCTTGTATTTATATAAACTGAATAGAAATGTCTAACATCACTTAAGCTTTTTAAATAACACTTGTAGCATGAGACATGAGACATACACTGCATGAAAAATGACATTAAATTAATGAGTAAAACCCTATTTTCCCCCAAGTAAATGTGAGATTTCTTAAGTATACATAACTTTTAAACTCAAGTAAATGTGAGATTTACTTGGAATTTAACTGATATTTACTTTTTGAATTTAATAAAATTTAATTTTAGAAGTAAAGTCCAGTAAATGTCAAATTTAATTCACCGAGTAAATCTTGTGTATATTTCAAATTTATCAAATAATTTTAGCATATTCTTTGTTAAATTCCAAATTTAATTCTGTTTACTTCTGATGTAAACTTGAAACATTAAAAAATCATTTATCAGTATATTTGAGTAAATGTCAAATTTAATTCAAAGAGTAAATTTGAGTATATTTCAGGTAAAATAAAACCTTCAAGAGTTAAATTTGAATAAATCTCAAATTTACTTCAAATAAATTTTAATAATATTTTGTTTATTTCCAGATTTATTTCAGTTTATATCCGAATATCTGTCCCATCTCGGATATGATTCCAGATCCATAATGTTTCTGTCTGGACACAGAAATGAATCGTCGTTGCAATCGATCCTGTTCAGATACACAAAAGAAAAGTATGTCCATCTCACTCTCCGAGATTGCGGCCGGTAAAAATGTTGAAAAACCTGTGTCTGTAGCACGTGCTATTTGCAATGTCCTAACCGAATGTCGCCAGGCTGTACCGATGCCCTCAGAAAATACACAACATAATCTAAGAATGAATTATTCTGCTGCAGCCTTTCAGTCAAACATGTCATCAGGGTTTCTATCTAACTCATCCTTCCATGGATGCACATTCACATTCAACAGCACGCACTAGCGTTATCAACGTGGAGAAAATGGCGTGTCATGTTCATCGTTTTCTCGCTCTTTTGATCATGTGATCGGGCGGCCTCATCACGTATTTATAGATATATACCTGCGCGGTGTTAAATAATGAATTTGTTTACTATTACAGAGGAATATTGTGTAATTGATGAACTATTGATTCTTTAAACTAAAAGAATATGTCTAAATATTTAAATAAATATTATAAAATATGTTGATTGTACTCTTTGAGAACTATTTTGTTTACTGTACTTGTCAACGGCAGCGCCACCTAGTGTTTTTGGATTTACTTGGCTGTTCTATAAAGCGGGCGGCTGTTCGAAAAATGTGTATAAGGCGATTTTTAATTTTTTTTTTTTCAATTTCAAAGTGACCAAGTGTAAATATAAGGGTTGTTTCTTATTTTCTGTAGCTGCATCGAAATGTATTTACTATCACATTTATTTGAATAATAAATGTAAGATTTAACATAAAAGTAAATTTAGGTTTATTTATATATTAACTTTTTCAGTAAATCCAAATAAACCTCAAACTTGAAGTTTAAACAAATTTACCAAAAATTAAATTTTAAAGTAAACGCCAATATTCGTGCAGTGATACTGTTGGATATATGTTTAATTAAAAACAATATCTTTCTTGATTGGCTTAGACGAAAAATACACTAATTATATCATCATCTTAAACATAAGTATCATCACAGTGGGAAATTAAACATACCTACTTTTATCATCATCTCTAAGTGTAGTACAATGGGAAAAAAACCATAATTATATCATTATCTCTAAGTGTAGCACATTGGGGAACCAAAAATACTTAATTATATCATCATCTCTAACTGTACTACAGTGGGGAATGAACCATATTTAATTATATCATCATCTCTAAGTGTAGTACAGTGGGGAACTAAACATACCTAATTATATCATCATCTCTAAGTGTAGTACATTGGGAACCAACCATACCTAATTATATCATCATCTCTAAGTGTAGTAAATTGGGGAACCAACCATACCTAATTATATCATCATCTCTAAGTGTAGTACAGTGGGGAACTAAACATACCTAATTATATCATCATCTCTAAGTGTAGTACAGTGGGGAACTAAACATACCTAATTATATCATCATCTCTAAGTGTAGTACAGTGGGGAACTAAACATACCTATTTATATCATCATCTCTAAGTGTAGTACAGTTGTGAACTAAACATACCTAATTATATCATCATCTCTAAGTGTAGTACAGTGGGGAACAAACTATACCTAATTATATCATCATCTCTAAGTGTAGTACAGTGGGGAACTAAACATATATCCTAATTATATCATCATACTTATATCATAAGTGTAGTACAGTGGGGAACTAAACATACCTATATATCATCATCTCTAAGTGTATCATCATCTCATAAAGTGTAGTACAGTTATATCATCATCTCTAAGTGTAGTACAGTGGGGAACTAAACATACCTAATTATATCATCATCTCTAAGTGTAGTACAGTGGGGAACTAAACATACCTAATTATATCATCATCTCTAAGTGTAGTACAGTGGGGAACTAAACATACCTAATTATATCATCATCTCTAAGTGTAGTACAGTGGTGAACTAAACATACCTAATTATATCATCATCTCTAAGTGTAGTACAGTGGGGAACTAAACATACCTATTTATATCATCATCTCTAAGTGTAGTACAGTGGGGAACTAAACATACCTAATTATATCATCATCTCTAAGTGTAGTACAGTGGGAACCTAAACATACCTAATTATATCATCATCTCTAAGTATAGTACGGTGGGGAACCAACCATACCTATGTATATCATCATCTCTAAATGTAGTACAGTGGGGAACCAACCATACCTAATTATATCATCATCTCTAAGTGTAGTACAGTGGGGAACCAACCATACCTAATTATATCATCATCTCTAAATGTTTTACAGTAGGGAACCAACATACCTAATTATATCATCATCTATTAGTTAGGTACAGTGGGGAACCAACCATACCTTATTATATCATCATCTATAAGTGTAACACAGTGGGGAACCAACCATACCTAATTATATCATCATCTCTAAGTGTAGTAAATTGGGGAACCAACCATACCTAATTATATCATCATCTCTAAGTGTAGTATAGTGGGGAACCAACCATACCTAATTATATCATCATCTCTAAGTGTAGTACAGTGGGGAACCAACCATACCTAATTATATCATCATCTCTAAGTGTAGTACAGTGGGGAACTAAACATACCTAATTATATCATCATCTCTAAGTGTAGTACAGTGGGGAACCAACCATACCTAATTATATCATCATCTCTAAGTGTTTTACAGTGGGGAACCAACATACCTAATTATATCATCATCTCTAAGTGTAGTAAGTCCGGGAACTAAACATACCTAATTATATCATCATCTCTAAGTGTAGTAAAGTGGGGAACCAACCATACCTAATTATATCATCATCACTAATTTAAGTACAGTGGGGAACAAACCATACCTAATTATATCATCATCTCGAAGTGTAGTATAGTGGGGAATCAACCGTACCTAATTATATCATCATCTCTAAGTGTAGTACAGTGGGGAACCAACCATACCTAATTATATCATCATCTCTAAGTGTAGTAAAGTGGGGAACCAACCATACCTAATTATATCATCATCTCTAAGTGTAGTAAAGTGGGGAACCAACCATACCTAATTATATCATCATCTCTAAGTGTAGTAAAGTGGGGAACCAACCATACCTAATTATATCATCATCTCTAAGTGTAGTACAGTGGGGAACTAAACATACCTAATTATATCATCATCTCTAAGTGTAGTACAGTGGGGAACTAAACATACCTAATTATATCATCATCTCTAAGTGTAGTAAAGTGGGGAACCAACCATACCTAATTATATCATCATCTCTAAGTGTAGTACAGTGGGGAACTAAACATACCTAATTATATCATCATCTCTAAGTGTAGTAAGGTGGGGAACTAAATATACCTTATTATATCATCATCTCTAAGTTTAAGTACCTATAGTATATCATCATCTAAGTGGGGGGGAACCAAATTTACCTTATTATATCATCATCTCTAAGTGTAGTAAGGCGGGGAACTAAACATACCCAATTATATCATTATCTCTAAGTTTAGTACAGTGGTTAACCAACCATACCTATTTATATCATCATCTCTAAGTGTAGTAAGGCGGGGAACTAAACATACCTAATTATATCATCATCTCTAAGTGTAGTACAGTGGGGAACGAACCATACCTAATTATATCATCATCTTTAAGTGTAGTAAAGTGGGGAACCAACCATACCTAATTATATCATCATCTCTAAGTGTAGTACAGTGAGGAACTAAACCATACCTATATATCATCATCTCTAATTATATCATCATCTCTAATATCATGTAGTAGTAAAGTGGGGAAACTAAACATACCATATCTGTAAGTTAGTAAAGTGGGGAATATACCTATTATATCATCATCTCTAAGTTAGGTAAAGTGGGGAACCAACCATACCTAATTATATCATCATCTCTAAGTGTAGTACAGTGGGGAACTAAACATACCTAATTATATCATCATCTCTAAGTGTAGTAAGGCGGGGAACTAAACATACCTTATATGATCATCTCTATGTTAGGTAAAGTGGAGAACCAATAATACCTAATTATGTCATCATCTCTAAGTTAGGTAAAGTGGGGAACCAATCATACTTAATTATATCATCATCTCTAGGTGTAGTACAATGGGGAATGAACGGTATCTAATTATATCATCATCAATAAGTGTAGTAAAGTGGGGATCCAACCATACCTAATTATATCATCATCTCTAAATGTAGGATAGTTGAGAACTAAACATACCTAATTATATCATCAAGACTCTTTGCTGATATAATGCCTCTCTGGCTGATATCAGGTCTCTCTCTGGGGGATATCAATCTTCTTTGTCTAATATCAAGACTCTCAGGCTGATATCAGTAGGTACTCTTGATATCAGAACTCTAATGCTGATATCAGGAGTATTTGTCTGATATCAAGCCTCTGATAATAGGCCTCTCAGGCTGATATCTGGACTTTCTGGCTGATAGCAGGACTTTCTGTCTGATATTAGGCCTCTCTGGCTGATATCAGGACTCTCTGTCTGATATCAGGACTCTGAGTCTTATAGCAGAACATTCTTCCTGATATTTATCCTCTCTATCTGATATCAGGACTCTGATGCTGATGTCAGGACTCTGGGGCTGCGATCAGGCCTGATTGGCTGATATCAAGACTTTCTGTCTAATATCAAGCATCTCTGGTTGATATCAGGACTCTGGGGCTGATATCAGGACTCTCTGGCTAATATCAATCCTCACTGTCTGATATCAAGCCTCTCTGACTAATATTATGCCTCTCAGGCTGATAGCAGAACTTTCTGTCTGATATGAGGACTTTCTGTCTGATATCAGGACTCTGATGCTGATGTCAGAACTCTGAGGCTGATATCAGGAATCTCTATCTGATATCAGGAATCTCTCTGGCTGAAAACAATACTCTTTGGCTGATATCATTACTCTGAGGCTGATATCAGGACTTTCTGTCTGATATCAGGACTCTCTGTCTGATATCAGGACTCTGGGGATGATATCAGGCCTTTTTGGCTGATATCAAAACTTTGTGTCCGATATCAGGACTCTCTAACTGATATCAAGCATCTCTGGTTAATATAATGACTCTGGGGCTGATATCAGGACTCCGAAGGCTAATATTACGACTCTCTGGCTGATATCAGGACTCTGAGGCTGATATCAGGACTCTCTGTCTGATATCAGGCCTCCCTGGCTGATATCAGGACTCTGATGCTGATGTCAGGAATCTGAGGCTGATATACGGACTCTCTGGCTGATATCAGCACTCTTAGGTTGATATCAGGACTTTCTGTCTGATATCGGGACTCTCTGTCTGATATCAGGACTCTTTGGGCGATATCAGGACTCTCTGGTTGATATCAGGACTCTGATGCTGATATCAGACCTCTCTGTCTGATATCAGGACTCTGATGCTGATATCAGACCTCTCTGTAAGATATCATGCCTCTCTTTCAGACATCATGGCTCTCTGTCAGACATCATTCCTCTCTGTTTGATATCAATCCTCTCTGGCTGATGTCAGGCCTCCTTGGCTGATATCAGGACTTTCTGTCTGATATCAGGACTCTGGGGATGATATCAGGACTCTTTGGCTGATATCAGGACTCTCTGGTTGATATCAGGACTCTGATGCTGATATCAGACCTCTCTGTCTGATATCAAGGCTCTCTGTCAGACATCATGGCTCTCTGTCAGACATCATTCCTCTCTGTTTGATACCAATCCTCTCTGGCTGATATCAGGCCTCCTTGGCTGATATTAGGACTTTCTGTCTGATATCAGGACTCTCTGTCTGATATCAGGACTCTGGGGATGATATCAGGACACTTTGGCTGATACCAGGACTCTCTGATTGATATCAGGACTCTGATGCTGATAGCAGACCTCTCTGTCTGATATCAGGACTCTGATGCTGATAGCAGACCTCTCTGTCTGATATCAGGACTCTGATGCTAATATCAGACCTCTCTGTAAGATATCATGCCTCTCTGTCAGACATCATTCCTCTCTGTTTGATACCAATCCTCTCTGGCTGATATCAGGCCTCCTTGGCTGATATCAGGACACTCTGACTGATATCAATCCTCTCTGTCTCATATCAGGACTCTCTGGCTGATATTATGCCTCTCTGTCAGATATCATGCCTCTCTGCCTGATATCAATCCTCTCTGGCTCTTAACAGGACTCTATGACTGATATCTGGACTCTCATGCTGATATCAGGACTCTCTGGCTGATATCATGGTCTCCCTAGCTGATATCGTGACTCTCTGGCTGATATTAGGACTCTCAGGCTGATTTCTGGACTCTCTGGCTGATATCGTGACTCTGGCTGATATCAGGTCTCTCTCTGGGGGATATCAATCTTCTCTGGCTGATATTAGGCCTCTCATGCTGATATCTGGACTGTCTGTCTGGTATCAGGACTCTCTGGCTGATATCAGGACTCTCTGGTTGATGTCGGGACTCTCAGGCTGATATCAGGATTCTCTGTCTGATATCAGGACTTTAAGGCTAATATCATTACTTTCTGTCTGATATCAGGACCCTGAGGCTGATATCAAGACTTTATGTCTGATATCAGGATTCTGTAACTGATATCAATCCTCTCTGGCTGATATCAGGACTTTCTGTCTGATATCTGGACTCACTGTCTGGTATCAGGACTCTCTGGCTGATATCAGGACTCTCTGGCTGACATCAGGATTCTCTGGCTGATATCAGGACTCTGAGGCTAATATCAGGACTCTCAGGCTGATATCAGGACTCTCAGGTTGATATATGTAAGAGGCGTGATTTTGGAGATAGATATAGATACTATAGGTATCATGTTTGACGTTTTTACTTGAGTATATAAGATATAAAATGATGACTTACCTTGATAAATTGGTTGATAAAATCCATCCTCACATTTGTATCTGACACATGGCTTGTCTTTCTGTGTCCATTCGTCCCCGTGATCATGGTAGATTCCATCCATAAGACAGGGACATATTGGCTTGCAGTGGTCTGTGGCAACACAAGCACATAGGCTGATTAAACTCAAATGATTTCTTACTGGTGATTATTTTACAAAAACAAGAAATGTAACTGGGTGATCTCTATCGAAGTCAGTATTTCGGGTCTAGTGTGAAATCTGATTAATCTGTATCATTATGAGTATTTTCATGTTCTGTTTTAATAACGTCTTACATCCCAAGATTTGATAATGCGGTTGATGAAAATAATCTCAAGCCAGTTTATAAAAAAAAAAAAAAAAAAAAATACAGACAAATCTTTTGATATGCCACCTCGAGATAAAATGTTTGTCTTTAAGACTAATTATTGTCCGTTTTATAATCCATGTAATTATGAATATTTTTTCTGTCACTGAGAATGGCTTTAAATTGATTTTCTTGGGTAGATTTGTACTGGTTTAAACCGACAATGTTTTGAATACTAAGTATCGGATATATAATTGAATCTATACAAATTTCTTCTGTTGGGGGTGTTTACATTGATGACGTGCTTTATGTGGACCGACCATCCTTGATATAAGAGAATAGTATTCCCAAATTTGAAATATTTTGTAATTTTAAACATTCGTTTATCAAATCAACAAACAAAAGAAAATGTGAATTGCTTGTATATACACCGTATGTTTATATTATTTTTGACTTCAGTACCTTTTACTTTATTGGAATAAATTGGGGTTTACACCCTTTATATATTACCACTCTCCAATCTTAGTTTGATATTTAAATGACATAATTCTAACTGATATTATATTTCTATAATAGAGTTGAGTTAGTCAGAAGCCAGTAGAAGTTAAGTCATTCTATCGTAGTGTTTTGTAAAACAAACTTAAAAACCTTGACCTATTCGTCAATAATTTTACAATTTTATGTCGAATATTCAAAAGACATAGATTTGTTAACAGTGGTATAGAGGAAGGACGATACTAATACCTGCACTGTCGAAGTATGACGCGGTAGCGGATTCGGCATAGGTAGAACATAGCACCGCTAGCAGGCAGACAACAGCTAGCATGCTGTGACGTTACCTCTTTACAGCCTGTAACTAAATAGCAATGATACATAGCACAATTACACACAGGGAATACATACCGTACAGGTGGCTATTTTAGAGCGGATGATATTTTCGCTATTTCACAGTACATTAAATTGATCGCAAATATTCAGTTCGTAAAAAATGAGACATGTGCTTTTAAAACACCTTTTTTACATACAGAGCGCAAAGTTTTAATTCGTTAGAATATGCTTTGATCTTTTTTTAATAGTGAACAATTTGGCAAGGGAAAATGAGCAGCTATACGGCATTTATAATACATTGACCTGAAAAAGATGTAAGTAATGTATTTGTTTAATTACTCAAAGGAATCAACTTTTTAGATATTTTGATTCACAATAACAAGCAATCATCAGAAAAAGGCTATCTGAAAATGATGACAGTGAAGGAAACAAAAGCATATGGAAAATAAAGTACGAACTCAACACCAGAAGAGACTCTGTCCAAAGCAATGCCGTGCTTTCTTATATAAAAACAGCAAAAAGGTTTGAAACTAATTCGTGGACATTCTCGACAACCAGAACTATCCTTTCTTATTCTACTTTTTTCCATTTTCCTCGCCTTCCTTACTTCCCTCTCTGAATTAGCATCACGTGATATGTTTGATTATTATGTATTGTAATATTAGGAGAGTGCCTAGGAAGTTGTAAGAACTTGTGCTCAACCCCTTTGATGCATATATTTATCAATGCATTTTTTTTTTAATAAATTAAGACAAGAAGAAAGTTGGTATAAACGGTCAATTACTCGACAGGAAACGTTGAAATACAACATGCAAAAGTAATAGAAAAAAAGTATAACCAACGAGACAATAGGAAACAGGTGCGGTAAGGGACAACGACAGGGAAAACGAGAAATGCTGGAAATGCTGAGTATTACCAAACGGATATTGAGACGGTTTTCATGCAAATGATGTTATTGTACCGCGCAAAATTAACCGTCATTTTTATATACATGTACCCGAAATCGGCGTGTGGCCTTTACTAATAACACTAAAAATATGTATCGATTGTGAATCCGGTCGTGAAAGGATGTATCAAATATTCAATATTCACCTACCGTATAGATATAGTTACGGAAAATAATCTGTTCAGGCTGTTGCTTTCGGGGCTTTGGTTAATGCGCATATTGACACAAGTCGTAAAATAGACTTCATAAGCACAACATTTAAGTTCGTATTCGTAGCAAAGGATTATTAGCTATTTCTATTTTTTACCCGAATTTTTTTAATCCATATGTAATGACGTAAGGATCTGATCATCGGAAAAACAAACTGTCCATAAGCTACGAATAAGAATGGCATCATAGCTTTAAATTCTGATTGATCTATTAGATATGTCAACAAACACCATTATAAATGGGGTTCTCTTACATTGTGAACAAGAAAGTAATTGTGTCATATTATTAAGAAAGATAATTGTAACATATTAGATTTTTAAGGTATTTCGGATTAGTTAATGATTTCTGTCTCGGGTCTCCTTTCGAGAGCATGATTAATCATATTTATTTTGTGATGTGTGATCGATGAAATAGAAGATCGTTTATTCTTCGGAAACACCTGATCTTATTCTCCTTGTACAGGAAATCCTTCTTCTGTTCAAATTATGTCCTAGGTTTATTAAGGCTTTTCACCAGAAGGTGAACTGGCCATATTGTTTTTGTTGTTTTTCTTCCGAATTTGTGGATTCGTAATCGTTTACACGGTAAGGGATTGGCATGCAACCTATATATTATGTTATGGAGGTACATCTGAACCTGTTAATGCCGCATTTTAAGTAGGTCAAAAATCCAATATGGTCGTCATGACCCAATTACCAGAAATGATAAAAACAGCAATAACTCGAAAACTCTTTGTTCTACAAATGTGCTACCATTATATTTCATGTAGAGGAGGGTCATATCTATTTTTTTCATACATGTGAATATAAATTCTTCCCAATAAAAAAGCTCGCCAAGGAGTCAAGGTCACCTAAAAATAGAAAAAAAATTGTTATTCAATTTTTCGATTTTCTTTCCCAGAGTTCAATGCAGAATGTCAATCCGATCATTTAAGTGTGAACATTTCTTCTGTGACGTCTTTCTTTAACGTTTAACGACATTTAAAAAAAAAAATCCCATAGTTCATTGTGTTAATTGTAATGGAATAGGTTTGGAAACGTGCCCTCTAAATTCTGACGAGATTTTCAACTTTGTCGAAAAAACCAAACGGCTGCAATGACGCCATAATTGATTTTTGCCCTAACGTCAATATCTCAATAATGACGTTACATTTTGAAATAATCTTTGAATATGTTATGTAGAATTGAAATTTAAATGACACTTCTCATGGACATTTTTGTGTAAAACGTCAAATTCCGGTTTTCGGTAGAGGTCAAAGTTCAAAAGTGCAATTTAAGTTACCAAACTACCAGACATTCTTCTCAAGTTTGGAAAGGTCTAGACGTTCGACATTTCACACACATAATGCTAAGGTAATTGCCTATTAAGATTGTTAATATGAATGACCTTGACCTACTTTCAAGGACACAGGGGTCACTTTTATTAATATTATTAAATGACGTTTTCTTACTTTTTAAGAGTAAAACAGTTACATGATTTGGTTAACAATCTCCTGTAGAGAGTTGCTTTTGATTTGTTTAAGCAAAGAATCCACAAAAAGCCAACTTCCGGTTTTCCATAGGGGTCAAAGTTCAAAACTTCAATGTATATGAAATGTCTTCTCAAGTTTGAAAGGACATAGAGACTTGATATCTGATACATAATAATGTTATAGTCATTACATGACATTTTTGCCATTTCCGAAGAGCAGTGAAAAAATTAGGTAATTTTCCTTCTCCTTTTGTTGGAGAAATTAAACTTCCGTTTTCCATTTGGTGTCAAAGTTTTCATTAAGTGCTATTTGGACTACCAAACTTTTAGAAACTTCTAGAGTTCTGTGAAGCCTGATGACCTGATATTTCATATTTATAGCATGCTAACATAATGGACAATCGAGTTTGGTAATATAAATGACCTTTACCCACTTTCAAGGTCACAGGCGTCAATCATTTGAAAAAAAATCAAATTAATATTCTTAGAGGTTTACAATTGCGAAATTTCCTTAAAACCCCATGTGGTCGTGAGGAGACTTATTATTGATAACAATATATAATGTTTTCGAAAAATTCAACTTCTTTTTTTTTCGGTAGAGTTATACAGCATTATTTTGAAAAAAAAACCCAATACACTCAGTGTTTTAATCTCGTACCATTGATAATTCTTTTTGTACTTTTATTTCCTACGGAGTGCCAATGTATTGCAGGCATATCTAATACAAAAAGTAGCCAGTATATGTACGGGTAGGTACGGGGAATATATTTGTAGAAAATTTGTAATGTTCAATGTACGAATATTGCTGTACCGATAGTATACGGTACTGAGAATGTCTCAGATGAGATATCATCTTTAAAGTACATGGTTGAACATTATAAAGTAAAGAGTAAAGGTTTTATGAAATTGACAATTATATAACGACCTCTTTCCCAGTGACATTATACCGATTGTTTAGCCATTACCAACACAAAATGGAATTGATCTCTGTGCATCTGTTGCCATTTGACATCATGACATTTCACACCTTATACACATACACAAACATTGTTAATCTAAAGGGCAAATAACACGCAATTATATAACAGATCTTCACTAATACATTTCACTGAGACGAGATGTACTTCACACGTGTCATGTTGAATGATGAAGTGAACCTACCGTAGGGGAATATATATATCCTTGTGATAGTACCTCGGATCGGAGACAATATCAGTACCCAGCCTCGGTAGTACCGGGAGACATCACACTTTCTCTTTGTAACACATATACTTATATATATCACATAATATGCCTGTTATCCACTAAATTCGCCGATGTAATATTTTAGCAGATGATGTCCGGGAACAAATCAGTACCCAGCTGATAGCACCGGGAGACAAGATTTTTACCCAGCTTTCAGATACCCAGAATAAACAAGATCAGTACCCAGCTGATAGTACCGGGAGACAATGGTACCCAGCTGAAGTACCGGGAGACAAGATCAGTACCCAGCTGACTTAGAATCTGTCAAGATCAGATACCCAGCTATAAAACCGGAGAATATCAAAATAGCCGGGAGAGAAAGATCCATTCAAAACCCAGATCAGATCAGTACCCAGCTTATAAAACCGGGAGACAAGATCAGTACCCAGCTGGCAGTACCGGGAGACAAGATCAGTACCCAGCTGACAGCACCGGGAGACAAGATCAGTACCCAGCTGCTAGTACCGGGAGACAAGATCAGTACCCAGCTGATAGTACCGGGAGACAATATCAGTACCAAGCTGATAGTACCGGGAGACAAGATCAGTACCCAGCTGATAGTACCGGGAGACAAGATCAGCACCCAGTTGAGGGTACCGGGAGACAAGATCACCACCCAGCTGATAGCACCGGGAGACAAGATCAGTACCCAGCTGGCAGTACCGGGAGACAAGATCAGTACCCAGCTGATAGTACCGGGAGACAAGATCAGTACCCAGCTGATAGTACCGGGAGACAAGATCAGTACCCAGCTGATAGTACCGGGAGACAAGATCAGTACCCAGCTGATAGTACCGGGAGACAAGATCAGTACCCAGCTGATAGTACCGGGAGACAAGATCAGGACCCAGCTGATAGGAGACAAGATCAGTACCCAGCTTATAAAACCGGGAGACAAGATCAGTACCCAGCTGATAGTACCGGGAGACAAGATCAGTACCCAGCTGATAGCACCGGGAGACAAGATCAGTACCCAGCTGATAGTACCCCGGGAGACAAGATCAGTACCCAGCTGATAGTACCGGGAGACAAGATCAGCACCCAGCTAATAGTACCGGGAGACAAGATCAGTACCCAGCTGATAGTACCGGGAGACAAGATCAGTACCCAGCTGATAGTACCGGGAG